CGGGAAATCTCTGAGTTTCCTCGTAAGAGAATTAAGTAACGGTTTGGCAGATTTCACCGAAGCTATGTGAAGAAAACGAGTGAAAACCTACGGGAGTGGAAGCCTATACGAGACCTACAGCTACGACATGTCGACACCTTGTTTTTTTTCTCTCTCAAACGACGTAAATGTCGTTAATGAGGAATGGGAGGTTTTTCCAAGATGCCCACGTGCCTTCTCGAGCTTGTTCATGGTGCGTTAACTCGAGCGCTGCTTCAGGCCTAGCTAGATTTAACTCGAGCGGAAGAGAAGTGGCTCCAAACATATCCCGCGATAAAAAAGTCGCGCCGGTCCACTTTGATGCAGCTCCAGTTTCCGAAAAGATAAAAAAAAAATAGTACAACAAAATAAAAATATGTATAGATAGCATACTGTGACAAAGAAGAAGCGCCGCACGACGGAAGTGAAAATATTCTTATCGCAATGTCGCGAGCGTGAAGTGAAGTTTTTGGCGGTCACCGTACCCCCGTCAGCTCCGTGGCGTATACAAAATACAAGACGGCGATAGTGTGTCTACACACACAAGCAGGATATAAATATCTCCCCGGCCGGGCAATCTCCGAGAGCAGCGCCGCAGCTTTTCAGCACGTTGCTCCCGTAACGCATAAACGTCGATATAATTTATTCAACCTGTCGTGTTTAGTGATCTCAACGACTCACATCCTTCCCTTATCAGTGACCCGAATACGAACCCTCACACTCTCTCTCTTTCTCTCTCTTTTCCTCCTGTCGTCTCTTCTTGCCAAGCTCTCACGCCTAAATTAGCCGCGCGTGGCTGATAAACGGCCCACACGTTCGATGGAAATTATTTCGTAAATAACAAAACGGATGTTCTTAAATCATCAAGTCTATTAAAGCCATTTTTTTAAAGAGATAATTACGGATTAATATTATACTCAAAGTAAATCTGTCAAATAACTTTATTGTTTCGTTAGTGAAGCAACGCGTCGATCGACGAACGAGATTCGCATTTTCTTAGAACATTACGGCGCTTCAATGTAATCTCGAGAAACGTGGAATGACATTTCGCGGATGGGAGATGGAATCCTAGATGCACGTGTCTCGCGATTGCAAAACCACCGCACGTCGCGGCATTAGCATAAACTCTTTGTTGTCGGCGACGATGCCTAAGTCGGATTGCGCCGTTTGATCGCTCGATATCGTCTCGGCTCTAATGCGTCGGTATGCGCTTCTCCTTGGTAAACCATACTATGAACGACTAAAACGGTCGACGTGGAGGCTTCCCGCAGGCCGTTTCACGCCGCGGGGTTTTATGAAGCGACGATGTAAATAATAGCGCGAGACGAAGATAGAAAATTGTGGAAGTATAAAAGCAGAGAAGTCGATTACTCGTACCAATTTTTATAAGTAGTAATTTACATTTTTATAACTCGACGTTATTTTTAACTTCAAGTATTATTCGTCGTCTCTAAGAAAATTTCTTGAAAAAATAAGGAGAGGTAAACTTTTGGTGAATTAAAGGGCAAGTTCTCCCTCGCAGGGCAAGCGGAAAGGTGTTAATCTCAGGGAGATATCTGTCAAAGTCATACACAGAATATTGCATCGATTTGTGCGCAGGGGGTAGTGACCTTGTATTTCTTGCGTATACGAACTTGTTTTACGCGTTCGACCATATGGTCGACATGTGCATTCTCTGCCCTAGCAGCCGCACGTGTGCCGCACCAGGATGCGGCCGCGAACGAGCGTGAATAATCGGTGGAATCAGCGTCGCCGCGTCTTAGTCATTGTCACTTGTCGTTTACCGCTGTCGAGCGAATTTCAAATGGATTGAGCAATTCGGTTCCATTTTATTACAAGCCGTCGAAGGAGAACTCTTGCAATTTTTTGTAGGCATTACGGACATATCTGTTTTTTTTTTTTAAGTACAAGGACTCGCGAGACTATATAGTGACTCACGCGCGATTCTCCTAACAATAAGAGACGAACAAATTTCTTCTTCACGCCATTCCATAGAAAAATATTGCTTTACTATTTAAATGGAGATCTTTGCTCGTTATACAATCCATTGAACTGTATGTCTACGAAGTAAGTTTTTTAAAAATACGATTCACAAGGACAGGAGCTCGAATAAAATTTGCTGTCTCATCGAATCGTTATTTATTTTGAGATCCCGCGCGAGAGTCGACGTGGAATTTGTTTGTTCGACACTTCCGAGCGACGCGATCCGGCGACATCGTTAGCAGCGTCGCTGCAGATGCAGAATCGCGATTGAATGGCGACTCTGCGAAATAGATGCAACTCGGACGATCGACGGACAGACGTTGCGAGGAAGTCTTTCCGGTTTCTACTCGCCGAGTGGTAGTGGTGGTAGTAGCAGCAGCAGCAGCAGCAGCAACAACAGCAGCAGCGAGTACTTGCAAGCCGCGCCGCGGCGTAGTAGTGACCTTTCAGCCTCAGGATACTGCCTATCTTATGCAAGCCCGCCGCAGCGTGTCTGCGGTTTCATTCACAACGAGACGCACGCGAGATTCTCGCCGCACTCGGGAGGTTCCTGTTAGCACGAATGCTCAAGTTTAACAGGCCGATACTTATTTGAATACCACAAGCACTGGCTCGCATTAGCGAGCAAGCGGGAAGCGTTTAAATGCACGCCGATACGGTGTGATGGTGAACTCTGATACGGGGATAAAACATTGCGCGGCTTTCTCTAGAAACTACTCGGTGTCAGCGAGATCGTCGAGAGAGAAATATCATTTTAAACTTTAACATTACTTCAATTGAAACGTATACAACATTTATACAACATGAAACATTGTAATATGTACGTTATAATATACGTTGCTTTGACAATTGCAACTTTCTAATTGCACGTCGGGAAGCGGTATGAATCAGCGATAAATTTGATATTCGCAATTACGCATCTGCGATTCACTGATTAGGGAGATTGCGTCTCGTATTTTCACATTAATCCGGGAATAAATCTTTCGCGAGCTATATTACTTCACTATTCCATGTAACGTTTCGCAACGCTGACAAATTCGTTATGCAATTTTACTATATGATCGCGGTTCTCGCGATTCAACGGTCGCGAAATGAATCGCGCGAATTATTAATTCTGCTCTGTCTGGTTTGCGTTCTCGACCGCTCGTCTGCGTGGGAGCTTAATGAAATACAGATACACCGTGACAAGGGTCTAAGGACTACGGTGACTCACGGTCGGTGCCCACATGGTCGATTGAACTGCCTCATGAGATTCATCGAGGATCGACCGTGACATTTATGTATCTGACATATATACTGCGAGATTTATAAATAATATCACAATTTTAAATAGTTTATAATCTTTTACAAATTATTATTATTCTCTCATCGTGTCGAAGATTTCAAAACGATGGCAATTTTTATAAGCAATTACTGCTCGAACGGAGATTTTAACATAATTTTTGTACATTCGTAATTTTTTTTTAATATTAAAATCGAACGATATTATTTCTCCATGATTGGTAAAGCAAAAAGAAATTTGAACTAGTAATGAGGTGCGAGAAATGGGTGGGTCGTACTTTCTGACTACTTTCAAAAGGATATTATTAGCCGTGTCGGAGGCTTTTCACAGTTCTCCTCGCAGGTGCAACATCCGGCTAGGTAGCTCCGTTCGCTCGTTTTACAGCAGCTAATTGCTAATTAGGAGATACAATAGCGGTACGCATGTTGCCGCCGCGCCACGACTTCGCCGTTGTCATCGCCGTCGAAGTCGTTGTGTTCGGTCACGGTCATATTCTTGACCCTGTTAGATGGCTCAAATGATGTTTATTGACGGCCATTATGTCGGAATTATGTCGGCATTGCCTGCTGCATTGCTTCATATTATTTTAGAAGTATAGAGCCCATGAACTCGCTTTGATTCTATTAAGCCGGGGAAGCTGCACGTTTAAACAACTGCAAAATATATATAAGTGAGATTTTCTTCAAACTTATAAAGTGATTTGGATATAATAATAATAATTATTATTGTACATAATTACAAACAAGCCTGAAATTCTTACTGAGAATATCGATAGAAGTATAATTAGAAATGCAACACTTGAGCTCCATTTTTTCTAAGAATAATTGTGATGTGATTTGATGACGAATTAATGGCCGACATTACGCGCTGGCAGCGGTGCTATACGCGTTAATAAAAATCGCATTTATATTACTTGCAGAGCCGCGGCCGGAAAAAATACCGACGACCGATATAGCCACCTTGTTAATGGCAGTCAGCCGCGTGCGATAAGATATTATCGTTATCACTTGTGACGGTTCACGTGATTGCGTAATGCGTGTGTACCGTTGCGTGTGTGTACGCGAGATTCGCCGCAACGCGCACTTACGAGAATCACGGAAAATGGTGATTGTGAGACGAGCCGGTGGGATAAGCAGGAAAAACAAGCGATAAGAATTGATAAGATTTTTTCGAATTGAACTTTTCACGTGTTTATGACTAAATCCGAGATTTGCACAGTTCTCGCAATTTATCTCACTCGATTCTCTCGGTATTTGCATACTCCCGGAGTAAGTGCTGGATCAAAGGGAAATATCCCCGGATGAATCAAACATTCATCTCGTTAGGTGCTCTGCCCTCGGGATTTTGAACCACGAGTGCTTCACGTCGTTGAGCTTTCCTCTATAATTATTCGCGAATATCACACTTTAAATAATTCAAAATAATTTACACGAAAAGATTTTCTGTGATTCTCAAACGTATTTTTGAAGCAACCTTGTTACACGTAGAACCTTGTTTAATTATTCTGAAACTAATCGATATCGTCGATTAAAACATTTCGTGACGTACCCGTTTTTTCGAAATATTTATTATTATTAAATTTTTAAATTCTATTTATCAATGGTCTTTTGAAATATTTATATTGCATTATAAAGTTGCAGCTTCTGAGCGGCATATTTAATTTTTAACGAAATACATTTGGGCTCTGATCTCTGATGACAGTCCTGGATGATTTCAGGTCTCGAGAGAGCGGTGAGTGAATTACCGCGCGGAGGAGCCCGGAGAATCAAGCAGCCGGTGAGCCGAAGATGCCGCTTCCGAAGCGATTGGTGGAGCCTGTGCATGTAGCACGCGGCACCATCCCTGATGACTTCCCGCTGCCATCGGAACTCGAGGCAGCCACAAATGGCACCCTGGCCAACACTATCCGACAGCTCTCCAGCCTGTCGAGGCACGCCGAGGATCTGTTCGGCGAGCTGGCGAGGGAAGCGCACGGATTGAGCGATCGTGCGAATTCCCTGCAGGCTAGGATAGATCGTTTGGCCGTCAAGGTTACCCAATTGGATAGTAATGTCGAGGAAGGTAGGTGAAGAGACGTGCTTGTGTTTCAATTCGCGCGCAGTAAACCGCGATATACGAGATAATTAAAACGAAAGAAAAAGGAATTGAAGTTTTGAAGAATTCTAGATAAAGATTTAAATGATATTGAGATATCCTTATTTTCTGTGCAGTCTCGTTGCAAGATATACACATGAGGAAAGCCTTCAAGAGTTCCGTGGTGTTTGACCAGCAAGTCGTCTCCAGGGACACCATGCCGACGGCCATGCTGGAAACGTATCACCAGTGCGACACGCCGCCACCCCTGGACAAGCTTAATATTTACAGGTAATTAGCGCCGTTACTTTACATGAACTCAAATAGTTTAATTCGGTAGTAATTGAGCCGTTAATTATTCCCTTGACTTCTCAGGGAGGACGGCAAGGACGGTTTGAAATTCTACACCGACCCGAATTACTTCTTCGACCTGTGGAGTCAAGAAATGCTCAAAGACACGGAAAAGAAATTACACGACCGAGGAAAGAAGGTAGGAATTCTCGCGGGATGGTACATTCAAAAGCGCATCCCGACAACTATCGTATTATTTATAACATTCGTATACTGTCGTATTCTGATTCTACGAATCAGTCAAGTTTAAGTTCGTTGACCTTCGAAGTTGTCGAGGTGCGCGAATTCGTAAGCCGAACTAGTTTCTTATGATTACTTAACGTGTCTAATATGCTGCGATTCTAACTACTGAATTACTGTCCCCTTCGTTGTAGAGCGAGTCTGAATATGCCGAACCGTTCAGAGAGGCAAGTCGATGGTTTGGATCTTTGTAGTTTCTTTTTAATCTCTCTTATCCCTCTTACGAAATCATCCAACAGTGTTTCAGTGAAACCGATCGATCGCCACTTCACTCTCATCGCATAATCACCCTCTTTGTGGTTTTTTCTTTCATTAACCGACCTTTTTGCGCGCTGATATAGAGACTGACGCTAGATGCTCGCTTTCTCGAAGTTCTGTAGTTGTGCTAATGGCCACGTGTTTTCTCGGTGGCGACATACACATCGCTTTGCGTAGATCGAACGCGAATAGACTTCCTTCGTCGAAGTCCAAGTTTGTCGATCTTCTCGATGATCGAGAACCGAGAAGGAAGAGGGCAAAAAGTTCCATCTACGCAGGGCATGATCTTAACTCAAAGCCCTTCCTACCTTTTCCATAAACCGAGTTGTGTTTTTTTTTTTGATACTTGAAACAAGTCTCTCACACCCACCGTCACTTTGTGGATCACTTTGATGTAATGCCGTTCTTTGCAATTTTCATGCAAGTTTTGAATGTACTTTATAGAAACTGCGTTATTATTCATCATCCACCGATTCATCTTCGACCGACACCGGTGTCCTCACGATCGCGATTGTCTCATCGTCCATTACAGGATTATCTCATCTCCATGTTTGTTCCGTAGAAAATAAAAGTGTTGCCGTAAATAGGAAGAATATCATTTTTTTTCTCATGACGATAGATTCTTATTGCAAAATTCAAATATAATAATTTTACGAGGCTCCACTTTTATTTTCTACACATATACGTTCATATTTCACTTAACTATTGATCCAGTAAAGTCTGATTTGACTCAGAAATGGTGATGCTTTTAAATAACGTTTTTTTTTCTTCTCCAATTGCAACTCTATACAAAACTCACTAAAAGAATGTTCTCAGTCGCTGGATCAATCGTCAGGATGTTCTTGACTCAAACCGATTGTGCTTGACTTACATGCGGTGCACCTTGTTCGTTGTCTCCTTCGCGTTATGCATTTTAAATCGCTTTCTTTTTCGCGAAACAGCCGCACAGGCCTCGGAATGAGGGTGGCGGCGGAGGTGGCGGCAGGCATAAGAAGCGTGTGAGGCAGCCGCATAATACGAGGGAACGACAACGGCAACTGGCCGTCGGCCATGGCGAGTACATCATGCCAACGCAGACGGTGCAGTACAGGGCGCCGCACAATGTGCAACCCGACGACGCGTTACTGGGAATGGTAATGACGGATCCCAGGCCACCGAGGCCCAACAGCATCGAACTGCGACGAAGCTACCCCCCAGAAGAGCAGCATCTCTACAGCCCGCCGTCTTCCGATCTCTACAGGTGAAAATATTGCAATGACATATCAATAATAATATAATACAATGATATAATTGATAATTCTAAATATAATAATAGATGATAGTTAGATAATGACACATTAACAATCAGAACACATTTTAATTCGTGCTTCTACTTGTTTAGTAAAATCTAGCAGAATACTTTTCTGTAGAATCTCTAGTTTATATCTTTACAAGCAATTAATAATTTTCTCTCGTTACAGGGGAACGAACTATATGACTCAGGGCTACGATGATAATCCATATGGTTCGCACTACGCTTCGGGACAGGCACCGCCCGGCAGCGAGGCGTATCAGAGTCCCGGCGGTCAGAGTACTCCGAGCCGGGGCGGTAGGTCGCGACCGTCGCAGCCGCCACCGGCGCCGCCGAGCAACGCTTCCAGCAATTCGACGCCCACGGTGGCATCCGCCAACAACACTCCCACGAGGGGAAGATCCATGAGCACCGGCAGGGATACCCTGCCACCGCCACCCCCGCCACCAGGAGAAACCATGTCTCCTCCTTCCATGAACGGTACATTAATTATATTATCATTTTTAATTTACAAATAATCGTATTTAATCGAAAAATCCATCGTTTTAAAAAAATTATTAATTACGATTATTTTTAATTATTTTTAAAAGAGAAGTGTAATAACTTTGCACGACTTATTGCTAATGCTTCAGGTTCCATACCGCCGCACTTGCTGAACAGGAGCGGAAGTCGGTCGGACAGTCCTCTACCGAGCCAACGTTCGACGCCGACGCCGCCGAACCATGCAGGCCAGTTGGGTACGGACGAGACGGATCCGGCACCACAGGATCTTCCGCCACCTCCACCCACCCCAGATCCCACCCCACCAAGACCCATCTCGCCTCCATGCAACATCCCGCCACCTCCACCACCGCCGCCTCCTCCACCGGTCATCAACGGACCCACGGCACCACTGCCGTTGACAAACGGCGATATCGCGAAGATGATCGCGACCAATCCGCCGAAGCTGAAGCCCCTGAAGAGTATTGTAGACGGCCAGCTAAGGAAACCCGTCAATCCGAATATTCCATTGGTCGATCCGCGAAACGACCTGCTCAAGGCGATTCGCGACGGTAAATTACATCTGTATTTTATTTTTTTGAATAATTTAAGAAAACTCAAGAAAAGATAGAATATTTTTGGAGTTTGGAAAATCTTCTATCTTTGATACTCAATAACTCTACGTAAAAAGTAACGTTATTTTATCCGAAGCAATTGTATCTTTCAGGCATAAAACTACGCAAAGTAGAGAAGATCGAGCAGAAAGAGGTGGAGCGCGTGAACGCGCTCAACGACGTCGCGTCCATCCTGGCGCGCCGCGTCGCCGTCGAGTTCAGCGACAGTGACTCGGCGTCGGAGAGCGAATGCGACAGCGAGGGATGGGGCGAGCAGGAGAGCAGCAATCTGGCGTGACCCAACTCTCTGTCATCCGCCGCCGTTACTGCCTCCTAGGGTAAACGGCCGACGATCAATTCGTTTCGACGCTCCGACGCCACCCTAACGTTCTACGACGCTGTAAGCGAGCCGATCTATTTCTCGTTTCTCGTTTTCGTATTTCCGTAGCCGATATCTCAATTTGCGAGGGATCACGAAACGCTCGCGCGCTTTAAACATTGTGTATTCAGAGTTTCGAATTTCCGGAAGAGAATCCGAAGAAAATCCTGAATTATTAAAGCACAATTCTGCACGATCCTTTCGACGAAGATTATTCGTCATTCGGAGAATACACTGGTAGAACCTTAATTTATTATTGCTCGCCCAAACAAAGACAATGTAAACTTTATTGACGGAAATAATTCGCTCCTTTCATCGCGTTATTGATACGACAAAAATTGAAATTATATCGATATTTCGCGTCATATTTCGTTATTAATATTAATCTTCTGTATTGAGAAATTCATTCTGTGAAAAGACAAAAAACTATTGCTGTGAATGAAAAAAAGTAGAAAAATGTTAAATTTCTGAAAAAAGAATTCTTGAAATACGTGTTGGAGTTTGCATGATTTCGTCAAGATCGTCAATCATAACGTCGTTCTTTGTTTCACAAGTCAAGCCCGTGTTATTGAATCGGCTGGTCAGCCACTCAGTCAGCAAAAGCAATAGCACCGTTTAGTTTTAATCGCTCTGTTCTTCTCGTGGAACAGAGAACATTTTCGAAGACACGCTAATTGTGGTCAATTTAATCGCGAGCGTAGTTCAGCCGAATCGCGATTCGAGTTTTGAATGCGACGAACGGAGCACTCGTGAGCTCATAAGAAAAAAAAAACAATGCGAAGATCACACACTAAGTTAATAGTGTAATTCGTAGCTCCAGGTTGTAGGTCCTGGAACGACAGGAAAATCCTGGAGGAGACGGCTGACAGGTTGAACGCCACGTTTAATAATATGTTTAAAATAGTGCGCTTCAAATTAAAATACCTTCCGCATATATTTCCGGCTTGTACGGCCATCTCAGAGATCACAATTTAGATATTAATATACTGCGACTAAATATATATCATATATATACAATATATTATTTTATATGTTATCATTATATAATCACTGTATAAATTTCATACATCAAGAAAAAACATAAATTTCTATAAATTTATATGAATTTTCGGAGGAACGTATAAGAAATGTCAAATAAAAATATGTTAAGCTAATTATTAGATTTCTACGCGTAATCTTGATATTTATACAAACGAGACACATAATTCTGGTCATAACGGTGTAATTACGGGGCGTTCAAACTGTCGGCAGAAATATGCGCACACAGAGGAAGTGAACATCGACTTGCCGAAGTCGTGGCTCACCCAGGTAGAACGACTTCCTTCCCCGGCACATTCCATAACGACGCTGTTAACGACGATAGCGCATGGCGATCGTTCACTCACACACAAACACACATACACACGCAGACACACGTACATAAATAAATAAATAATATAAAAATAATAGTAATAGTAATAATAATATATAAAACGTCTCTACTTACCCCATAGAGAGCGCTCCGCGTTAAAATGCAGATACACCATCGACAGGACGGCGCGAGTTAAACCAAAAGGCGCAGGGCTCGGTACTCTCGAGCGAGATTGTAAGATAGAAAACCTTAAATACCGAAGCTCCTTTCGTATTCTTGTCGCGAGAATCCTCCGGAATTTTCTTATCCTCCGCCGTTCCCGAGCCGTGATCTTCCACGTTACGACGCACTGGTAGGAAATGCGCGAGACGACGCGAAAGTAATCGCGCCAGTTTTACGGATACAATTCTTATCCCCCACGTTTCTCTTCTTTTTTCCCCTCTTTTTTTTACGATATATTATTACATTCACCATTGCTACAATGACAATCACATGTACAATAAATATTTCGATTGTTTTTTTTTTCAAGAGAGAAGAAAACAGATTATTGTATTATTTCACATTCGAACGGTACGATTACTTTTGCCACGTTGAGAGAAACCAAAATACTTCGTTTAAGCGTAGAACGGCGCGAGAGACTAGACGCGATGGAGGATTCATTGTTTTTTAGCGTATCCATTAGCGTGTAACTCGGTGGGGAAGAAGACGAGAGAAAGGGGGGCGCGTATATATGCAACACGACGTATTGTTGTTTAACGGCGCTGGAGCACCGGATTTGCCAATCGGAGGGTAAACGGGGAGGAAGAAATACGATTGTGATTTATTTTGCATCGATGTGGCGAAAACACGACGACGACGACGACGATTCTAGATAAGTCCGGTACGCATATGTATACCTACATACGTTGTATTTAAATATGTACGTATATATATGTATACGCAGATATATATATAAATACATAACATAGAATATATATATATAAAGAAAAATATCGATCGCGGCAAGGATTGTCGCGAAGTTTTCACGGCGGTGGTGAGGAAGACGAGCGTTTCTTTTCTCCGCTACCTCCGTTATTTCCCCGTAAGATCTGTAAATTTTCTTGTACGTACTACAAACCTTCTGTAAGTAAAACGCGACAATGGGGCGAGCGATTCTGTTGGACCAGGTAAATGGACACTCGAAGAAAATTTGCTTAGAAGGTTTACTTTAAGCGTGTATCTCTTTGATTTTACAAAATTTAATGTTTATCGCGCTATTCGATTCACTTAACTGGCATAATTGATATAAAAATGTGGTATGAAAAAGTAAAAGGGACATGCGAATCATCGACAACGACGTGTGTGTACATTTACGTGAGTCTTTGAATATATAGCCGGGAGAGCTATATAATTACAGTGTAACAATAATCAACGAGGCTCGTTGAGACGAAAAGCGAAGTGCCCGATAGTTCGAGCTTAAGTTTAATTTATTTGGAGCTGGACGAAGTAGACCGGGCGATTTACAAAAGAAAAAAAAGGAAAATCGCGCGATTTCATACACTAATCAAATCAAATCAATTAGTTTTAATTTCCGATTTAATCCAATATTATTCCGTCTGTACAGCAATCAACTCAAATTCCTCGTAAGAGCCGAAAGCATTTCACGAATGAATTAAGTTTCGTTATACCGTTTTCACATTTGTGAAAGTAATTTGAGTATAGATTTCGATTTTGTTTAGCTTCCTAGATAAATTATACTTCACGTCAGAGATGTGTACTTTTTATTTGAATAATCCTTATTTTTCGTACGGGATGCGCCAACTGCTTTCTTTCTTAAAAAAAAAGAGATAGATTTTTGTTTCTTATATATATATATTTTTTTTAATTTTATATTTTTCGGATCACGCGCGTTACACACAAGAAATCCGTCAGGACATCATCGCTCTCACGGAGATGTTGGCGCATCCGGTATACGCGCAAATGGTGCGCGCAGTGCAGATCGAAACTAGACGTAAGGACACTAGACGTAAAGGATATTCTTAGCTATCTCGCCAATTTACGACACAGTATTTATCACGATGGTTTTTCTAAGGAGTAGAGGGAAGGGCAGGAAGAGAAAGAAGAAAAGGCGAAACGGGATTGTTTTTTCTTTTTTGGATGTAGGCTTCTCGATATCGTGCGAATTTGTATGAACGAAATAAATATAGTTGTCATTCGTCTCAACCGCGCTTTCCCTCCTTCCCCCCGCAGAGGGGGTTTCCCGTAAAAAAAAACTAAATTATTGTAAAGCCGTTGTGTACCTAATGTCCACGGGAATTCCAAAGCTTATGTAAAACGAAGTGTATGCTCGTGATACAAATATTATATATATATGTATACATTCGAGGAACGGTCGTCGGGATCAATCGGAATCGGTGATGTCATGGGAAAGAGGTCTACGATTTCGAGAACGGAGAACGGTCTGAGGCTCGTATCGGTCTCCCGGACTCGCGAGAGATCCATCCAGGTTGCAAGAAATACGTCTCATTTACCCACACCGTTACAAATATACGATGGTATTATTAATAATAATAAATTTGTAGTAAATCTGTACAAAGCCAAATAAATCAAAAAAATTTCGTAAATCCTCCACCCCAGGTTTTCTCCATTGCCGAGGGAAGGTCACTTCCTTCGGCTCGACAGCGTTTTTGATCTTAGCCGTAGATCGAGAAGTTTTTTAATCAATTTAATTATTTAATTTATCTACTACTTTTTTTCTTATTTCCGCAAATCTCTTTATATACCGTCGTACTTTCTATATTTTAATTTAACTTTGTGTCTTCGTATTGCGAATTATTTGGGCGGCGATCTTCGGCGAGGGTATTCACACCGTGGGCCATGTGTAATAAAATTAACATTTTATTTGAAAAATCGAGACATACACAGATGCGAAAACAATGATAGCACATTCTGGTAGCACCGATAAATAGACGCTGAAACGATAGACTTTAGATTTTTAGAGTACTATGCGCGGGCTGATTGCTCGTTTGATCGATTGGACCGTTTAATTCTTTTTTTTTCCTTTTTTTTGCACATTAGCACAACCCCTCCCCCGCCCCCCTCGTTTCGATTATGTTATACGTCGAGCAACAGCTTTCTCGCGAATCGGTCGGAATGATACAGAGTGTCCGTGGAGCTTCTACTTATCATTACCAGGTCGTAATTATTCGATTTCTACAAGTAAACATTTTCCATTTGAATACTTTGACGATAATTATTAATTCAGGGAATGATGTTCGATAGAAAGTTCGAAAGTGTTCTGTTGATATTTCCTCGAATTTGCAAAATCACGAAATGTCATAAATAATATAAAAATCTTGCGATCGTATCTTTCTTCTTTCAATGAACTTTTTAAAATCTTCCTCTAAAAAGAAAATCTTCCCTAATACAGATCTCGCGCGAACACGCTGTATCCTTAACGTAACAAAACCGAGTGCTCTTTTCCGACCGGCGTATCCTCGCTGATCCTTACATACTTCTAGAGCGGAATGGATATATAAATATATTTATACAAGATGTATCGCAAAGCGTCTCGGAGTCAATTACACTTTATTATACAGCCTGTATAATGAAGTTCGCAGTAAATCGTTCTCGTAATAGAGATAGGAAAAAAGGAACTATCGAGGATGTAATCGGACTGATCTCCGGTAAGCCGCCTACTTTCGAATTTTGATCGATTTCCTTAATCTCCTCCTTTCTCTTTCTCGCTAGCGAAGTCGCTCTCTCTTATACCCCTAATTTATCCTTCCTATATGTATATATCCCTTTAATAGCGCTATGTACAAACGTAAATGAGGGATCAACGTTTGGTCGCAAGCACTGACAATGTAACGGATTGTGAATATAATAACTTTGAACGTTGAACAATAGCTCTCTCGCTACGCGTACAAAAAGAATCCGGTTAATCGAAATCAATACGTAGTCAAGGATCATATCGGTGATCGGTGTACACGAAAAAAAAAAACGTAGTTTTCTCGTCGTTTAATTCCCCGACAGTGCGGAATCGAGTGTTCCTCGTCGATTATAGAAATATCCGTGGCATTTTATTATTGGCACTGTGCGATGCATCCTCTCTTTTTGGTTCCATTTACTTTCCATCGTGTTTCGTCGTCGATAAAAATTGCATTGTCATCGATAAAAACGGGTAATCGACTTTCTACCGACTAGCGTAGGTAAATCGCGCTTCCGCCCTCCGTTCCTTCGTCAGCGCCCTTTCTCCCCCCTTTCTTCGTCTCTCTATTAATTATCTATTAAATTATATGACCACCGAAGCATCGTCGATCGCTTGATTAATTGTCGCTCGATGACGGCGCGACGCACTCGCGTAATTTCGGGGTTGCAAAGTTATACTCTTTTCTTTCGGTATACGCGCTTTTATATTGCTATACGAAGTATAATGATGTAAAGTCTCTCGCGTTATCATTGGCACCATTATCGATCGTCCTTCTTTTTCTTTCCGCCAGAAAGAGATCAGCCTTTTGTATAGTGTGTCGTTTCGTGGTTACAGCCCGACCTAAAAAGCTACGTTTACTATTAATAAAATTGGCGATTTCGTTAATCCGCGGGAAAGCTTCTTCGCCGTTTCTAATCGGAATTGCATACGCGTGGCGCGCGTTTTCTCTCTCTAGATTAAAGAAGTTGAGATCGTATCCAAAAAGTGACGATGTCCTGCGGCAACGTATCCGAAAGTGTGTGCTCTTCGCGACTTTTTTATCACGCCTTTTCTCATTTGGCACGAGATCATGGAGGTGGACGATACTTGCGGCAAAAAAAATCTGCGATATTGCATCTCTGAGATGCGTTCCGTCTTTCCTTTTTTTTTCTTCACGCGTTCGAAGAAGGAATGTGCGGATATCAAAAGAATCTCGCGATCACACGTTCGTATTATTAAATTAATCCAATTAATAACGACAAGAATTATATTTATATGCCGATAAGTAAGGCAGGCATTCCCTTATAATCGTAACTGTAATAAGACATTTTGCGCGAACGAATTAAAATACGGTATACCATCTTGAAATATACATTCGCTCACGATATACGATTGCACGATTTTTAATCCTCGTCCTCGGGATTAATGCGGGATTCTAAGCGAAACTTCGTAGCGATCAATCGTGAATGTATCCGTATGAGAAAAATGTCTTCTCGCCCCTTCACATATAATATATACGATAAAATTTAAACGATGCAAAGTTGAACGAAGAGACAACAACGTATGTATTCTAAATCTTACTTTCCGCTCCGTCCGCCGAGGATCCCAAAATCGTCATCGATCCTTTCAATTCTTTCAAAAGAATCGTTAGGAAAGTATAACTGTATATGGAATTATATTCTATCCGGTTTATATCAAATCGTGATATACTAATAAACACATGCGACAATATTTTCTTATGAATTCTTTAGAAGTTATTAATCATATATGTCTCGGATTGAAAGAATCGATAATGATTCCTCGATAAGGAACTCGCCCCGGCGAACAATTGATAAACCTCTCACACAAGCAACGACCAAATCGAGGATGTCTGAAATGACGGAGAATTACCTTGATACGATCGCGATACATAGGGTGTCGCAAAAGAGAATGGGTACGAACGGAGCAATTGCTTTTCGTTTTTCGCGTCCGATTTCTTTTTTTTTCTTTTTCTCTAGAAGGAAAGATAGAAAAAGTCTATGTGTGAAATCATACACAAGAGTCCGTGAGCTCAAATATCGAGCTCCGTCTAGATCCATCTGCTGGGACTTCCGTCGGCATTCTCATCTAGGTACTCTCTTCCACCTAGATATTCCTCCAGACAATGTAAACACCCAAAAAGATATCCGACGAAATTAGGATAACTTTTTAACTTTTACATCATCCGAGTTTATATTACTCCACTGGCTGATGAAATCGTCTTCAATCTGAAGGCATCCGTCGGCAGCCGTCTTCGATCTTCTTCTCGAGAACCTGAGGAAAATTCTGAGCGACGTTTTTCTTGCGAACTCCTGCGATTCTCTTCGGCAAAATGTGATCTTCGCTCTTCCTCTGCCACCGGCCGACGTCAGTCATCTTCACCCCTGAAGAAATCCGTCGACGACGTTCCCGACCCTCTCCCCGCGAACCTGAGGAAAATCCTGAGCGACGTGTCTTGAGCTATCCCGATATTCTTAAAAATCTCGTTCCATCCGGACGCGGTTCTCACTCTTGCTCCACGCTGATGTCCACCGTCCTCACTCGGGACGAGTCCGTGGGCAACAGTTGAAGGCGTTCAGGCTCCGCGTCCAGCATGATAATGCACATGAAGCTCTTGCCGGACGCCTGATCCCTAGGGTAGATGGTCACCGGCGCGAACTTGTCCACCGAGCCGTCCACGTAGGAACAAAGTTTCCGGTAGACCTGGGGAAAGTGCCTCCTCAGGGAGACACCCCTTAGCCTGAGTTGCCGCTGAATATTGGTGAAGCTGATCTCTCGCGCCTTTCGTGGCGTGTTCTGTCCGTTGTTACCGGGTAGCGACGTCAACACCAGGGTCTCAGGCGAGTCCATTTCTCTAGTGATGTTGCAGGGAGACGCGGGTGCCTGCTGCTGTGACAGCTTTCTCCTGGCCTGCGGAGACGCCGAGGAGGAGGAAGCGTGCTGCTTGGCCGCCCCGTCGAGTCTGATCTTCGCGCATCTGGACACCAGCTGCCGCTCCCATCTGACCGCGCCGCTAGTCGGCACCTCGCTGACCACGCACACAGCCACGTAGAGCACCAGCCGCGTTTCCGGATTGTACGTCTTGCAGAGGCGCATCAGCTCGGAGTACAGCTCGGCGCCCATCTCGCCCGGGAGCAAGTCCGACCAGCGCACGTAGGTGGGCTCGCCGAGGTCGGCGAAGCCGTTGCCGACGAAACGCTCGGCCGCCTCGGGGCTCGAGAAGAAGCACTTGACCGCGCCGCGACCGTGAGCGGCGTAGCCCCGTCTGGCGAGGGCGGAGATGTGCTTCAGGGCGGCCGGGTCCTCCTTCGCCGAGGAGAGTACTTGGCGGCAGAGACTGCCGGCTCGCGAGTGAAGGCAGGTCCTGCGATGACGTTGCCAGTGCGCTCTTCGACATTCGCGTGAGCAGTACAGGCAGGTGCAGTTGTGGCAGCTCTTGTAGGTCCTCCTCGCTTCCGCCAGGGTAGTCGAGTTACCGCACTTGTTGTTACGGCACCGCACTACCTTGTCCATTGCCGAGCTGCCGTTAGTGGAGTCCTGGGCGTTGTCGAACGACACTCTGCGGTGACGAGGCTGGACGCCACCGCGCGACGGCATCAACGACGAGGACGACGCGGCTGCGGCGGCGGCGGCGACGGCCGCGGCTCGAGAGGGCAGCGTGTCGCTGCCCTCGCTCTTCCGTCTCACCAGCTCGCCGGAGTAGAAGTTGTTGCGCTGATCCTCGGTGATTGCCTGATGAACGTCCATCACGCTCTTAGCTGACTCTGTGACAGGTCAGATCGATTGCCTTTGTCAGTACAAGCACGACAGAGTGGCGAGATAGGAGAGACAATGAAAGAGGTTGGAGAACGATCGTGATTAAATCGAAGGGCTCATCTCACAAAATCGTGTTAGACTTTGTAAAAAGCAAAGATGCGTCTTTAAGCGTACTGTTATTCTTGCAAGATTCCCATGCAGCTCTTTGCAATACGTTATTTTCATATTTTTTCAAAGTGTGAATTTAACACGATTTAGAAGCGAGCTCTTCCTCTTGAGTCACTCTACCAGTGGCATCAAATGGAAAATGATGATGCTTGTTACTTCGGCATGATGAATGGCGCTAAATGATTTTGTGTAGCGTGATAAGAGAGAATTCGTTCTCACTTTCCTCCGTCATCGTCACCGCGAGAGCCAGCGCGAGAAACGCGTTAAGCACAATGACATGATGATTGTAAGCAAGTATGAGCGTGAATGACAGTGATCGGCGTGATGTATTATATTGTCTTAACGACGCATACTTTTAATAATTCTTCTCCCCTCAACAGTCTAAATTTTCCTTGCATTTCAATCGCATTTCCCTTGTGTCAGTGATGGCTTCACAACTTAATACTTGAAGCAATTGTCTAAGAAAACTAAAGCATTAAAGCAAATAACAACTAGATCGAAATCATTTAAAAAACAAGACAGCTATAACTAAAAAGAATGTATCAGAAAAATATATCGAGTTCTATTGTATCAAAAATTATTTTTTTTTTTTGAAAGTATATAAAGTACAGGTAATATAATTATTTAAGACTTTTAAAAATTGTTATTAAATTAGCCCTTTCTTCCAAAAGGTTCCTTCACAGTAACGTTATATTGTTATATGCTTTTCATTGTCGCAGTGGACGAACATTAATTTAGAAAGAAAGACAAATACAATTTTTAATTTCATAAATGAAAACATTTTATTGTGCGATAATTTTTATTTTTAAATTTCTCTTAAAAATCCTTACGAAACAGTCAATTCTTTTTTTATTTTTTGCAGACAGCTTCTATAAAAATATTAATAAACATTCTTTGAATTAAGTTTTTTACTTTTAGTGCTATATATTTATTGAATATAAGTTACAATTAGAAAAAAGACTTGCTGTAACAGGAGCGAGTGGGCACATTGCTGTAGTTCGCGTAAAAGCGAATCCAATCTGTGTATCTAACCCATCCCACGTGCCATCAAGCTTGATCGTGCACAGAACCATAGAAGATCTGTTTCTCTTTAGTCGCACTTTCCTACGTTTTTCGTGTCAAAAATAAACGTGGTATTAAGTCTAATGAAGCAAATCAATTGTTATCGAGATCCATATAAAAAAATTTAATAAAATAAAATATAAATAATACTTTCAAAAAGATAAATTTAGTCTTTCGAAATTCGATAACGCGAGTAAAAATTTTTTTTCGCAATAAAAGAGCGTGAAGGTGGTTGAGACAGATTGATCGCTCGAAAGTATAGGAAGCGCTGCTAAAAGGGGGACAGATCTTTAAAAGAGACAGAGAGAAAAGATATATGTAAGAAAAGACAGAGAGATAGAGAAAGATAGTGTCGAGAGTCTTGGTGATGATTTTTTGTCTTACGATCTCCGTCTCGGCTCGTGTTATTAATCATGCGGTCCTAATCATTCGCGCGATAAGCAGCGAGCGGCTGCTGCGGCGGCCAAGCCACGGCCAAACTCGTCCTTGGACTCTGGGGTGTCTACGACCCCTTTACACGCCCTTAGGCTCGCCTCTGCAAAGGTGCAAAAGAACGTGAGTTCGAGGGAGGCGTTCGAGATCGGGCGGGATTAGACGTTACCGCCTTCTTCTTCGTGTGTTCTCGAATGATGTTCTCATGGTTTTTTTTTTTTTCTATATCGATAGAGACTGAACAAATCGAGTCGGTCGGTGACTGTGGTCCACAGAGACTCGAGTTAAAAAAGCAACGAACTTCGCACTCGTTCGTCCCGTTTTATTTCGTGTTCTCTTTAGGGATGAAAGTGAAAGTCTCTTTCTCGGGGGAGTCGTTGGGGTTACTTTTCGCAACTCTCTCGGTTTTCCCCGCGCCGTCGACAAGGTGAAAATGTAAGGATGCACGTATGGTATGATATATGTAATTTTATGTTGAGTATATTTATCTCATTTCGCGCGCGGAACCTGGTTCCTTTTTTCGTTCAATTACGAAAGCGCAGTTCTGCCGTGGGTGAAGGGTGAGGTGAGTGGCGACGAGGCGAAGAGAAACGCAAGTTTAAGTTTTTCTTTACGCCGCGCAAAGCGAAATACACAGTCGGTCGCGTGTACATCAAAGTGACCCAGAGAACGCGTATTGCACTGGCGGCAGATTTCCCCTGTTGAGGAGAAAAAAAAAAAGACAAAAATATAAAGTACCAAAAGAATCTACCCCTCGTGGACGCGAGTTCTCCAAAAAAATAATTCTGTTCTTGAAATAAATTTTCGGAACGACATTATAATTGCGAGTAAAAATACCAAGACCAAGGATATTTTTACGATATCGAATTTTTCTGCCGCTTGCGCAATATTCTCACGGGACAGGACTCGATGCGCGCGCTCTTCAGGGTAGGGGGGTTTCGTACGCATATAGAGATTGATCATCCTTGGATAGGATTCTGCCGATCAGAACGAAAACTTACATAGTCCTCCTACCTTGGAGGTCTTGGCGTAGGTCGCTGCAGCTCTGCCCGGCATTCGCCTGGCCGACGGCGGCGTTCGTATGGCGATGGCGGATGGCGGACGTGGCGGTCACGACGGGTCCCCCCGGGCCAGGACTCGGGGTACGCGACGCGGGTGGCAGCCCCAGGAGGGAGTCGAGTACGTCCTCCAGGGTCGTGGAGCCCGGGCTCGGTTTGTTCCGCAGAAGAGCTGCCGTCGCCATCGCCTCGTCCGTATCGCTCTGGCCCGATCCTGATCATCGGTATCATGCGGGGGTAAAGAAGAGACAGAGAGGTTTGCGTCATCCTCTTGGCCTCGAAAGTGTTATGTACGTGTGCACGCGTGTGCGTGCATGTTTATACCGTGTACGTGTGCGTGTACATGTGTATATGCATTGGTGAGAGAACGAGATAAAGCCTTTCCCCATTTTCCGTTAATCCGTGATTAATAACAAAGCGATTACCTTCTCGTTGCCCCCTTAATCTGGTCCCGTTTTAAATAAAGAAGGCAACTGCGTGTGCGTATGTGTGTGTGTTATGTATGCGCGCGTGTATACTCGAGTGAAAATGGAATAATCCTTTCCGGGGTTCCATTGACCCCTTTACCCCATTGCGAATAAAGCGATTTCCTTTCCCTCATATTACGCCTTTTGATTAATTTCGTTAAATTTCTCTTGGCCTCGAAAAAGTGTACGTTCTTCATCACTAGGGAGATGAACAAACTTTTGCGATCTTCATCCAAATAAGTAGATGCGGCAGACGCGTCATTGCGAGACCGACCGGAGTTCGCCGCGAACTTGCGGCGAAGTAATAACATCTAGTTGTGTGCCAGATCAAGTTTTACATTTTCGGGATTGCTAATTATCGATCGATCGATCGAGCAACACTTGAATGTCATCAATTGTGCTTTACGCGCGCATAAGTGCGGCTGTCAAATATTACATATGGAAAGACAATACAGAACTCGATTGCTGACGTCGTAAAATCGAGAAAGCAACAAAATTCTGCAGAACTTACCGTGACACAAGCAGAACGTGGTACACAATGCGACCGAAATTAGGTGTAATGCGGTAGACGATTCACATAGGTGATCGCGCCATTAAATCGGTTCTTTCCGAAAGTGCATAAATATACGTGCGCGATGCATGCGCGATATGTGTCAATAAATGTTTCAATACGGCAGTAGAATATTGAATCGAAATCGTAGAATGAACCGATTTAATGAAGAACGAAACACATAGGGATGAGAAGAAAAAAAAATAATCATACGTAGTATACATATAATATATAGATATATATATATAATAAACGCGGGAACAAAGAAATTTACGGAGGAAACACAAAAGGATGACGACAATAATTTATTTGTTGCCAGGGATAATAATTACGCTCTACAGACAAATGATAATCGTTGACGCGTCCGAACAATAAGTACGGAACCGTTTGAAAGTGAGACAGAGAGACCAGGCGGGGGAGCACCGGGCAAGCAGAATCATCGCGAGATCATCGTTCTTGTCGTCCCGTGATTCACACACGATCGAATCTACTCTTTATAATAATATCACTCGCGCGCTTGATGTATATATTCGATAATAATTACAGGATAAAAAAAATCATTAAGGCACAGCAAGAGACAAAACGAGACGTGCGCGCGTGATTCTGCGAGCTTCGGAGCCACAATTAAAATATAATAACAATGATAATAATAATAATAATAATACAATTAAAAATAATAATAACGATAATGATAATAATAATATCGACGCGCTCGTAACACATAATAAACGGTGTGCGCGCGCTTTACATAAGTAAACCTAATTAATACAAGTATGTGTGTATGCACCTGTACAGGTTCTACAGGTGTTAAACGTAAAAGTGGACAGCTTTACAGTAGGCATACATAAACGCAAATAACTACTGACAATGGTGAGCGAGGTGAAGGGGAGAAGGGCAAAGAGAAAAAGTGGTTAAATTAATGTAAAATTAATATCTCCATACATGATATATACGGGGGAGCACCGTTAAATTATTCCTTTATCAGCGAACGGGAAGGGGAGCGGAGGGTCGTCGACACGTATCGTAAACAAAGTAAGAAAGTGTACTACAAAATTCTTCGCGACGAGCTCTCTCGTATGAGCGACGATAAGAATGAAAGAGAGAGAGAGAGAGAGACAGACAGAGTGTGAAGTGAGAGACGAGAGAACGCGCGTGGAATGGAGAGTTTTTATTTCAGAGTTTTTTCGCTGCACGCGAAAAAAAGTCCTCGCGAAAAGCGCGACTCGAGTGTGCACTTCCGGCTTCCCGTTTATTTCCGAGAACTAGTCCTCGAGCGCGAGTCCGTCCTCGGGCGAGCGATATAAACTGCAATCAGGTAAATCCGCGACGTCGCTAAATATTAATGCAACGAGCTCGTTTCCCCGTTTTATCGTCATCTCAAGTCTCGCCGTTCGATCAAGCCTGATGATATCCACTTGAGAGTCACGCTCTCGAATAAGGAATTCCCGATAGTAAAGACTTTCGATTGAACGTAGTCGGCGATTATTCGCAGCTTCCAAGGTTTTACTACCGAGAGCTCCCAAGTGGACGTGCAGGCCTTATCGTTGCAGTAGTCGCAGTGATAAAACCTCCGAGAACGAGAAAGGAGAGTATATATTGACTCGAGTCGGCTTTGTAAATTAATTATTAGCCGAGTCCTGGAAGGCTCGATTAAGCCTCGCGCACCTGCGGCTCTCGCCCGAGCGCGCGACGAAAGCTGACGAAAACGAGGACGGGACAGAGTGAGATAACGATTATCGATATGTGGGCGTAAGCTCTAATCACCGTCGTGATGACGATAAAAAGCTCGCGGTCCCAAGGGAGAGAAAGAGATAGAGAGTGCCTCCGTTGGGATGAAAGCGCGACGAATAAATATCACCCTTAAAGGGGATTTCTTCAATCTTTACTAGGTAAGGCAACTCGTGAAAACAGGAAGGTGAAATACATTTTACGATAAATTTGAGAAGTTCTCTTTTTAATTTATGCGGTCTAATTAACCGTTCTTCCTTCGATACTTGATATTTTAAAATATTAATTAATATATTGATATTTTTATATCAATTGTATTTATATATATATCTATTTTTCGAATTCCTTCTAAAATTAATCGCGTTATTTCACACGAGATCTTTGGCTCGATTTCCAATCTACAGGGGAATCTCCTCGCGGAATCGTCTTCGTCAGTTTCGCGCGCTCAGCGACAGGCGGAGTACCGGAAGTAGCCGGGTGCCGGAAGTTTTCGCGCGTCCGCTAGGCGAGCAGCAACTCACCGCGGTGATGACCTTGTTGCTGTTGCTGGCGATGATGGTGACGCTGATGGTGGTGGTGGTGGTGATGATGATAGTTAGAGGAGGACGTGGGCGACGGGCCGGCCGAGGATGTCTGGAGATGTTGATGACGCACGTCATCCCGGCTGGGCGTCAGGTCCAGGTAGAGACCGGATGCGGCCGAGTCCTGGCAGCTGCAGGACTCGGTGCCGGCCGCGTTGCAGCAGTCGCCGGCCTCCTGGTCGGTCGCCAGGCTCATAGGCGTCTCCGGCGAGTCCACGGGCCGCGTGCCGACGAACGAGCTCTCCATCCAGCACAGCCTCACGCTCCCTTCGAGGTGCCGACACAAATGCGAGAGCGATTAGGCCCGGGTCGTAAGTGACCCCTTTCGCGTCGGCGTCGGAAACTATTCTAATCGACTTTTCGATCTTTCCGACCCTATTTCTGTTTTCGTGGAAAAGAATCTACTTCTAATTTTTAAGATTTCTAAAATCTTCCCGAACCATAGTTCAAGATTTTGTAAATTGTCTTTTATAAAATAACAAATTCTCATATCCGATCATAAGAGGATCGGAGAACCATTATAATAAAAAAAATTTGCTCTCAAATTATATATTTTCCGATATCATAGTTTACTTCATACATTTCGTTTACAAACACTATAAACGCGTTAATCTAGCTGCAAAATTAAATACTGCAAAAGGTAAATGCTGAATAACTGCCACTTCTTAAACGCGCAAAGCGCCATGGGAGAAGCTACGCGTGCATACGTGTTATATAATACCGAGGGGATTTATAATCTCTTTCGTTATAAAGCTCTCCTGACGATTAGAACCCGACGATGCGGGCATTAACTATCTTTATTGATCCTATAATCATCTTAAGTAGTGGAAGCACTATATGGGTATTGCGAGACAAATAACAAAGGAAACTAAAAATAATGCTAAATAAATTGGAGAATCCAACAGCGTAATCACATGTGATATTCTATACGACCCTATTGATTTCAAATTTTATATAACGTTAAACAATGTTCGTAAATCTATCTTGAAAAGTAGCGTTAGTGAAGCTGGCACCAGAGTTTTGTTAATAAAAAGTTATATGAGAAATATATTTAAGTAAAAGCAGCGAGTTAGTTTCTGTTATTTGTTATCGAACGTGTTAGTGTTAGTTAAGCGTTAAGTTCAAATGCGCGTCACAACAGCATCGGGAAGAGTCGATCAAAGTCTTAGTGGTAAAACAGAGCTTTGCAATTTCGACTGCACACGCAAAGCTTTTCTTTCTTTATGGTCCTCCGGTTTTTTTCAATTCAGCTCCGATTTATTATATCTCGCTGACAACTCGCTCGCGAGTACGCTCGCGCCGAGAAGGTGGAGGGAGGAGGAGAGATGAGAGAGTGCGTTTGAATTTCAGGGTAATCTATTTCGGTGACGACGGTCATGAGACACTATTCGAAATAGCAGCGACTTGTCTCGACGACACTGGTCTCGAGTCGCAGCGCAGCTGCGGGATGAGATGAGAAGGTTACGATCCGGCGACCGGCGCTGACTTATACGATCACGCTGCGCTGGATTTCAAAATCGACATATTGTCGATCGCGCTATTTTGTAACGCCGTAAATTGACAACCGTGAATCTCAGTTCCTTCTAAGGAAGGGTGCATTTTCTATACTAAACGTTCGAAAATCAAAACGCCGTTGTCAGCTCTTATTTCCAGAGACCTTATTTACAAAACCGTCAAGGTCCCAGTAAAGCTAAGAAAGAAGACTGAGAATAATAAAGAACAAACGTTCTTCGTTACAATCTCGAAGGCAAAATCTAAAGGCACTTCTGGTAACGCGGATCCGTGATGGGTTTAATGAACGATCATCTGATGCTGAGATTAAATATTTAGCATCCTACCAATGGATTTATTTATATCTGAAGCGATACCAGCGGTCGCAAGATGAGAGAGAATGGGCACCGCAATACGAAACGCGGAAGATGTAGACTGAGTACTTGTAACTTGAATACTTATACCATGTTGAAGTGCGACACGTGTATGCGCGCCGCTTGTAAGAAGCACTCTCGCAAGCAGCAATGACTTGCACTCAGTGCCTCAATGACGAACGAGAAGAATCTTCGTTTAGATATTTAGACAGTTTAGAATTTTACATTTAATACACGGTGATTGGCGGCCGTGATGATAAATCGTACTTTTAGTACCTTGGATATATCTAACGAAATAGATTCGCGTGTGACGATAGTTTTCAATTAAAAAATTCCATAATTTGAATTTCCATTAATGATATTCATTAATTTACATTAATTTCCATTAATTTGAAATATAATGAGATTCGTATGTAAATCACAATAGTAACGTTTTACTAAAAACTGTATTATAATTGGGATTTAAATGGAGAATTCTAAGGGTGCTCGAAATACGGAATAAGAAAATATATTGGAACGCGTTTCTAAGTGAGTCCAACACTCTCTCGGAAAATTCGTCCCGCGGGACCCTTAAAATTCTTTAACCTGAGAAATCGGGGGGGGAATGTTAAAAATGTTAAAGACCGACCTGTTTTGACCTCATCGATGCGCAGAGCCAGTTGATGCATACAGAGACAAAGAGAGAGACAGAGACAGAGAGAAAAAGAGAGGCAGCTTGCAAAGGAAGATAAAAGAAGACATTAAGAAAATAGGAAAACTCAAAAATTACCTTCGTGACGGAGAGCAAAGGTGATGGTGGTTGTGATGGTGTTGATAGGATGGTATATATTTTTTTTGTGGCTGGGGGGATGCTTTAGTGCTCACCTCTGGGGCTGGTAGACCTCGCTCCGCCCCTGTCGTCCCAATCCTCAGGTCGAGTTCGTGGCGAGAGTCGGCCGCCACCGCCGCCGCCTCCGCCGACCTCCTGGCCGCTCTGCACGTAGTGCACGATAGCCGAAGTCACCTCCTTTATCGAGTTCCGTACCTCCAGCTGCTGATTCGTTGTCTGTTGCTGCTGCTGCTGTTGCTGTCGTTGCGAAACAAGCATGAAATCCGTTCCGGACAGTCGAAGATTTATTATGGATATGCAATTGACATTTCGATTCACATTAATTTTAGCCAGAACATTAACTATCGTCATCATTTTAATGCCAAGTTTCGACAAGCAATTTTTCTCGAGAATATCTCTTACAAAATCTTTCAAAAAAAAATTATCTGTCAACTATAATCAATTATTGTTTCGAAGGAGGAAATCATTGACAGGAGATTGTAATTAGTTAATTAAAATAATACAAATTTTCTAATACACATAATAAATAATTATGTATTCTTGGCATTGTAGCACTCATGAAATAAGTTATTATACACTTTGACAATTCATTAAAACAGAAACAAAATTAACGATATGTTTTTTTTAATTATTAACACATTAAAGAAATAGCTATAGAGTATAATAAATTCTTAAAAAAATCTATCGCGTGAAATGTTCGTCTGGGAAGAAACCGCAAAAGATACGAGACGACAGAAGCTTTTCTGCCAGAATTTCTAATTTTAGAAAGCGGCGATGCGCTTGCGTGCTGCCCGCGGAAATTAAAAATAAATTGCACAAAGAGTAAATCTCGCGGAAGGGTCGGATGGATGGAACGAGAAACGGGTCGCAGGCGGGGGATCGCATCATTAGTTTTCGCTCTTGAGTACGAATATATGACGAGTGCGTAAACGCATAAGTAATTCAAAATGTAACACATACACACAGATTTTACACAATCTCGCGAGTATCGATTCGCAAACACGCTTGAATTCTAAGGCCTGCTGACGCAAAGAAAGTCGTGACGCTAACGGTGACGTCAATAATTTCCACGGAGCGGTATTGCATTTGCTGGCTGACACGTTTGCGGCGAATTAGATAAGGGAAAATTGCGTTGAACGATGGATAAACGGATGGACGATTTTAATTCGAGCCCCGAGATTAAATGTTACATTACACGGAGACAAGATTATGAAAATCTGATGAGACCGAAATGACAAAAGACTCGAGAAACGGGTTAAACAGAAGGGAATTCTTTTTTTTTTTAATCGTGCACTTACCTTGTTTGCGGCCTGCAGCTGGGGAAGAATACCCTGAGCAAGACGTTCCGCCGGTGTCCGCGGGTTCGTCAGTCGCTCCTGAGAACGCCAGCCCAAGTAGGGCTGCCGGTGATTGAAGGACGACCTGGCCGAACTCGCGGGCGAACTGCCGGCGCTGTTCAGCAAGCTGGTACTCCATCTCGAGAATACGGGGGGCGTGGGGCTGGGACTAAGAAGGACACCTGAACAAAACGAACGTCGCATTGCATAATTAAACTATCGAGATGTTACCTTAATGAGAAAACATATCTGTGGTTTTAATCACGGATTTAGAATTGCATATTAAGCCAGATATTTCGATTTTCTCTTTATTAAAAAATCTAAAAAGTTCGGATTTATATAATTAAGAATTGGGTCAAAGACGAGCAAACAAATAAAAAGTAAAGAGATAAATATACAACCATTTGTTTGCTCGTCTTTGGCCCAATTCTTAATTATATTTTACAATAACGAGCTGTTTTATGCAGGATTTATTCGGATTTATTTTTAACTTTTTTTAAAAAATAGATTACATTTTGTTGCCTGATTAAAAAATAACTATCTCACCTGTGGTCGGCTGTCGATTGGAAGACGACGAGAGAGACGACAGAGAGGTGGTCTTGGAGCCGAGGGCGCGCCATCCTCCGTGCTGCGACGCGTCGGAGTGCCTCTTCAGCCGGAAGCCGTCGCGGGCAGCGGGTGAATTCTTGTACCAGTCGGGCACATTGAGCCGCTGCAACGATCGCTGCACCCTAAGCTCGTGCTCGCTCGGCACGCGCTCGCCCACTTTCTGCAGCTCATTCTCCGGCGGCTGCAACGACAAATTTGTGTTCGTGTCCGTCAGCGTTCTCTCAGTGTTCGCGAGTTATGAGCAATTATGAGAACTCTCGCGATAAATTGGAAGAAATATTTCTCGTTCAAGTTCGGGGATTAAGACGCCGATAATAATCTCATCAAGAGAATCTTGGAACGATAAAATTCGAATAATGGAATTGCAGAGTTAATAATAGAGTTGACAGTAATTAATTTTACGATCTTAATCCTTGAACTTAAATTACCGGCTGACGGATATTTATCTTACGTAGTCTATCTTTGTGCGTATCTAAGCTATAAATAAATATGACAAATAAATAACTAATCTAGCTTCTACAAACTGTTTTCCCTCGAATTGTTCGTCGGGGAAGAAATCGATTTTGACGAAGAGTAGGCGCCGCAAAGTGTGTTTCGAGACATCCGGTGACGTGTCGTGACACACAGAGAATGTGTGTGGTTGCCGTGCGAAGCATCGTGCGAGACATCAATCCTGCTCTGCGAAAGTTTCAGGGACAAACCTGCGCGAAGGTCGATGCGACGATATCCTCGTCGCAGCTTCTCGCCGCGCCCTCGATCAAAATTCGACGCGCCGCGTTATTAGCGAATCCGTGAGCCGCCGTCATCGCCCATCGGTCGCCACGCGGTCGCTTCTCGATCTACAAATCGACGATGCGAGTCCCTCTTTGTGACGCGTCAGGCGCGACCATCGATCTGGGAACGACACTCTATTTTATTCACGGACCCGCTTCTATTTTCAGAGCATTTTCAGACGACTGAAGATATAAATTGTTATTGTATGTGCAGGACATTATTCTAATTATTTTTTTCTAAGTATATGCCGAATTATTATTTCAATTAAAAAGAAAAGGTTAATGGACAGATATGTCATATTTTTAGAAAAAGAGTTAACGTCGATGATTTACAAGATGTTTTGACAGATATCCGGTTCCCGTTCTAGTAGTTTGTCGCTGCTACAACTGCTCCTTCATATTTTTCATTGTCTCGACTTCAATGCTAATCGCGCGACGGCCACATAACGGATGCACGTGACGAACATGCGTGTGATTTTCATGCACGGAGTCTAACGGGACTAAATCAGAAAGCGAATGGCTTCCACGTCTCCCGTCTTCTCATCGAACGAGGGAGTGGTTCTAGTTCGCCAGTGCGCACACGTGTACGTATCGGCCTAAGGAAAATATTTTTCGAGAACGTCTTAGATCGTTGAATTTCCCTCGGCGCGTACAGGGTGAAACGCACTCTCCGTAAATATTTCTTCAACTGAAGGCTCCCCGTCCCTAGCGCCGAAGAAGCGCCGAGCGAAACTGGTAGCTGTCTCTCAGTGTTAGCGTTCGTTAAAGTCATCGCGCGAAGAAATTAACTCGCGGAAGTGGATGAGGATTCGCCAAAGTGTCGGAAGCGCGTTTCTGTTAAAAACATTAAAATAGGTTTCTAAATAATTCCAGCGGAGAAGGGTGAAACTGCGAAATCTCCAAACACAAATTTTTAATTTCCAATTCGTATGTACTTCTCCTCAAATTTCATCTCTCGATAAACTAGTGTTTCATTAAAGCGGCGAAGTAATCGAATGTGAGTGATATCCTGGTTATTTCCGATGGCAAAAAAATTGAGGGCGCAGCTCTTGGTCGGTTTCCCAATCCCAGATTTGCAGACGCGAAACGGACAGACGGACGGCGGCGATGCAGGTTTCGGCGTACGAGGCCAAGGCTGAGCTGTGTGTGACTGGGATAGGAACAACGACACATCCGTGTACGGAAATGTGAGGGACGTTTACGTAATGCGGACGCGGGAAGTTCAAGAGGCGTTCACTTCATAGAATCGATTTCGTGAGCCGCTAAATTTCTTATTACACCGTACAAAGCCTGCAAAGTCGCCGAAAATGTCTGGATGAAAGCGAGATATTCTAGAGCGGAACCTTCGGAAATCTCGTTTTTATCTGAAAACACGAATCTCCTTCTTGCGCCTCTAATAAAATTATATGATGCGGCGATTGACATACTTAGACGATGAGTCTAGAAATCGAGCTGAATCAACGGTAACGAAAAGAGGATTAAAATAAAACATGAGCAGAAGAAAAATGAGCGAGATTCGATATCGCGTTACGAATCGAACGCGCATTGCATAACGGGCGTCTCGGATGACGAGACACACGACGATGCAATAATGCTGTAATTTAAATTACGACAGGCCGTCGTCTTTTCCGTCATCGCGTTGTCACCCCGTCAATTGACGCGAATTAGGGGAAAGCCACGTCAAAGACCCGTGGCGTATCGCATCTGCCATTAAGGCGGCCAAAGACCCCGCGCCTCTCTCGCTCGCAAGTGCATGTGCATCACGACGGACGATGCATCCTGTTCCCGCTGCATCCGCGAGTGCGGCCGACCGGCGTCGCCTACGATATTCCGATATTATCGAAGAGTATCCATCACCTTTTACTAGAATCTTACAGACGCAATTTTTAATCTACGCGTGTAAAAAATATGAAAATGTTCCAATTATTACATTTACACGTAATTTATAATATATTTGTTTTTTTTAATATAATCTTGTAACACATGTTAAAATATTGATTATTTATTTCCTTCAAATTCTAGCTTTAAAAAATTAATTCTACAAACCAGTGAGTCGATTTTTTTTTATATTTTATATAAAGTTGTATATAGGAGTGAAAATACCTATAGCTCTTTATGTGCCTTTAACTATGTTCCGCGATGTTGCCAATTATATGTTGACGACGGCATTAACAATTCGTCGAAATTACATACACTCGCATAAATTGTATATCTACGATATAATCTCGTGGATATAGTTCTAACAGTCGTGTACTCCCAAGTCTATAGTCATAAGAAAAAAGGAAAACTTCTGCACCGAGGCTCGCCTTTTACCATTCATTGTTAACCGCCATCGATTGCAATTGTTTTCGAAGGCTGGCCTTAATAATGCACCCACACCAGTACAGCGGAAGTTGCAGAACTTTTCCTCGGCCGCTCGAAACTTTGGAATTGCAAACGGCGGAGAATCGCCTTCTCATGTCTAAATAATTCCTGCCGTCTTATCATAGAAATGTTGCTCGAAAGTGTATTACGATAGCGAACTATGTTGAAAATGAACAACAGCTGGCATAGTCAAATAGTTGATAACATCGGTAATTTGCATAAAAAATAACATATTATTTGTACGAAGTACGAATTTACTTAAAAGTGAAGCTATCGGTAATTTGCATAAAAAATAATATATTATTTGTACGAAGTACGATTTTAAAGTGATACAAAGTCAACAGCAGGTTCTTTAAGTTTATTTGAAGAAACGAGAAACCAATTATGTAAGAAGTCCATTTTCTCTTCTCTTGAGTTTTCAATTATCGAATCTTTTTCGTCTTTTTCGCATTATTTCACGTTATTTTGAGAAGCTACGTTATAATTAAACTTCAATAAACACACGTAATTTATTTTTCAATTGATATTTTTCAATTGGTCGAAGCCGATGCCTAATGCGTTTTGACTAAAATATCGTCTATGCGAAGCCACGCATTGCGCACATGCGGCACGCATATGCGCGGATCACCGACACAGTGCTCGTAAATGCGTGCGAACGGAGCCCCTCGTGCAAAGTCGCGTTACGCGGGGGAACGGAAAGTCGTCGGTTTTATCACGCGAAAGGAGTAACACCAAGAATCCGCAAGCAGCCAGCACGTGCAGCCTTTGTTTCCGAACTTTCTAGCCGAAGGTTCTCGCGCGCATTGACGCGGATCTCATTCGACATGACCTTTGTACTTCGCAATTCATCATCAGAGAATGTTAAGTCTTTATTCACGAACCGAGCCTTTAGTCGATGTAAGAAAAAAAGAGAAGGCAGTCATTAATCCCAGTTCTTATATACGATATGAAATGATATCCCTTCAATGCATGAAACATTCATTTCCCCGGAGGGGAACTGTTTGCGGACGCTAGCCTAATGTATAAAAGTTGAAATAAAGCCTACGATTATTACGTGGCTTTAAGACGCTTCATGTCGCGCACGACCGTCGGCCCCTGGATGTTTACGACACTGCACGTGGCACAGCCCGTATCGTGGATACACGTGGGCACGAGGAGCGCCCACACGTCGCGGATTCTCGCTCGGCCTTCGACTCTCTTGCCCGCCGCGGGTATTAACGTTTCACGCAACTGCCTCTTTCTTTCACCGCCCAGCACCTAAACGGTCTAACGCAATCGACGCCGCGACTTTACGGAATCGCTCGAGAGAGAGAGGAATAACGCTGCCGAAAAACTCTCAGCAAGAAAACCACTTCACCTCTATAATTATTACTAGTGCATTTTGAAAATTATAAGGGTCACTTTTTTTTACAAAAGAGAGGATATGTAATTATCTTCGATTCTCGCAGCCTTTTTAGTCCTAATTAATAAAAAGTATTCATTTAGAAAGGTGCTCGTTTTACACCGAACTTTTTACTCCAATCAAATTGGGCTCTTGAAATTCGATATCGAAATAATCCATATTCAAGCTGTCGCGAAGGATTAAAATCATCCCTCCTGAGGTGGAGCTGCTTCCCCTCTATTATATGCCAAGATCTTTCAACCGAAATAGGGTGCAAAAGTAGGTCAAATACAAGGGCGACGCAAGGGTAGTTAACAAAGGGTCAACTTCTGGACAGTCCTCGATAACACAATACCGCTCTTCATGATGCACTTCAAAGATTACAAAAAAATTGAAAACTAAAAGATGATAAATTATTTTCAATCTGTATAAAAGCTACACGTATATGCCATAATTTTTACAAAAAATAATAACTTTCATATTTTTCTAAAAGAATGTGTAGACTTTCCAATACTCTGACAGGTTCATATCGACAGGTTCTGTAAATATATACAAGTATCTTTGACTATCCCATAAAAGTTTCTCCATTTAAACACGCATTTCTACCATCTCCGGGGATATTTATTTTCATTTTGTTTAAAATTACTTTGTGTTCTAAAGTTAGTTCAGCCGCTAGTGCTTACATAATGCCACCGATATGCGTCCGGTTGGCGGAATGTCGACTGCTTTCCCGATCTCGACATGCCAACTGCAGCATACAAGTGTGTGGGATACGGGCGCATATGCAGGTGCAGTGTGAGACTTCGAATCGATTTGCGAGAGCCTACACGCGGCACAATTTCGTGTCCCGGACGAGACCAGACGGGACGAAACGAGACGAGACGAGACGAATCAGACGAATGGGCGCTGGCACGGGTCGTGACGTTTTCGTCGGAAAATGAACCGGAAATGCTGGCCCGAGTCGCAACAAGCTGTCGAGGTTTGTCTGACACGAGTAGAAGCAGCGTGAGAGAGATTCTCTCTGGGCAGGGGGGGGGCTGTCCGAGATCTGTTCGACGCCAAGAAATATTCAAAATCTAATTTGCTGAATTATTGATTCTATTTTAACCAATCTTAAGAATCAAGCTACCGCGAACGCGTATCTCTCTTAACGATGATGTGCATCGGCTTTACGCTATATTGTTGACTCTCGATGATTCTTAACAGGCCAGGCGTGACCATCGATCGCGGCAGCATATTCATTGAATGCAAACAGACGATTCCACATGATTCATTGACTTTACCGTGACCCCCTTAATCCCTTCCTTATTCCAATGCAATAGACTCTTACCGTGTGTCGCGCATTAGGGGGATTTTGAAAATTTTGATCGACCGCAATACAAAAATTATCGTGAAATTTTGCCGGAATGAAATAACGACGTTTTCAACCGCTGGAAATCATTCGAATTTACGCGGCTCTTCTGGTTTCGTGATCGAAACGTCCGACGATGGAATTTAATGGCGCTATGACGTGGTAAATTGCGCGGAATTTGCCAACAATTCTGCTAACAGGGATATCCGAGCAAACGCACGACATTCATTACGTCGCGGAACGACGCGTCGTGGCTTTTCGAAATTATTACGGGACAATCAAGTTATCAAACGCGGATGAGAGGTAATGCATTTAAACGTTCGACGGTTTTCCGGAGGGAAATTTCTCTCTCCCCCGCTCCCCGCTTTGTGCGACGCACAATTAAATTTGATTTTCATTCGCGTGTCAAAACAAGCAGCAATTTTTCTTGCACGACACACAACAAGGTGCGACAACAGAGTCGGAGGATAAATGTTAATTGCGAATTTACATTACTATCCACGCGTGCTTAACGGATGCAAATGTCACGGCCATTATTGGAAAGAAAAAAAAACAGCTCGCGTGGCTCTTGACTTCTGTTTTGAAGCTACGGCTCGAAATTATAATAGTGATGATTAATACTTCGCATAATGCGAATATCTGCAGTCCAACGTCATCCGCGGAATCGCGCAAGAATAATTGTTAGGCGATTGTTTATTTTTTTTTTTAACATCACGACGTCCTGCGTAGAATGAGTATTATACTAAAAAAACTTAAAATATGTGAGATATTCTCATGTTTCAATTATTAATTTTGAAATATCCTCAGGTGTGTTTATGTCGATTTGAAATTTCATCCTTTTGATAAACATTTAATAATGTTATATAATAATTTTAACACGGTGAGTATTTCGCTAAGAAAGTTTGTCATAAAATTATCCTAAAATTCTTAAATTCATGTAAAATATAAACATATTCATATAATGACAATTCTAATAAGACGACTAAATTGCCGAAAAGAAAAAGATCCGGAGAAACATATTCCAATAAATTCACGGATTGTCGTATAGGGAGAAACTTGTAAAAGAAATCAGCCCTCTTTCTCTTTTAGTTTCACAACAAAGACTCGGCTAAACGGTCTCGCGAGATAACAGCTGGATAGAAGCGACTCCATCCGCGGGCTCGCGGGGTCAACGTGGCACAGATTCGCGTGCTAGGCGTCGTGGTGTTGGATTCGCCAGGCCGGAGTGCATGAAGCGGAATGAGAGAGACAGAGAGAGAGAGAGAGAGATCGGTTCGTGCGCTCGTATGTGGAAGCGCGCGTATCGCGGGACGACGAAGCGTAACGCGCACGTATACGAAGAAACGCGTGTGCACACGTACACACGCGCACGCGGCGGGACGAGCCGCTACCGTTGATGTTGGTCGATCAATACGCTATGCTGGTGGAAGCGAGATGAGAGGAGGAAGCTGAAGGGCACGGGAGGATGGGGGAAAACGGGAGGAGGCATTGTTAAAGTCGTGGACACACTGGACCGATATTTGCACAATGCGCAGCCCCCGGAAAGTCGCGTGGCCGTGTACGGGATTGCCTCTCTGATCCACCTTACCCGCCAAATCATCACGGAAATTAGCGCGGCGCGTATGTTACATCTGGCGCAAGGCTTCCGAGTAAAAGAGGAAGGTGAACCTCTCTATACCGTACAAACCTCTCCAACACTGTTCCGTATTACGAATGTTTCTAAGATCTGTCGAAAATATCTATGTATAATTGCAATGTAATAAAAATTACATATTTGACATCAAAATCAACTTCGACTGCTATGTCGTAAGTCTATATGTATTGCATACATGCATAGTATAGGTTGAAAACAATTTTCTTAGAATCACTGGGCAACAATTTACAGGTAATTCCTACTGGAAAAGATTACTGGCTATAGTGGCGTAAAAACAATTTGATGGAATTACGACATTTCAGCGTTTCCTATGTTAGGCGTCCATTGCTATTTTCCAGCAATAGGGATCGCAACGATGCACTAACATGATATTTTTATCCGAACAGCTATCGATTATCCCGCAACAATACGCGAGGGGTTCCTCAAGTGGTCAATATCATCGTACTCGGCTCGGTACTAAACTCGTACGTTTCTAGAAATGTTACTTCCACGCGTTTGATCCGTTGAAAATCGGCGACTTCGACCATCGGCCGTCGTCGGTCTTCAAAGCTATATTCGCGGACGGCGATCAAAGTGCTTCTACGCCGCTTCACCTCTCTTCCTCCTCAGGGTGGTCCTCTTTGAGGCGACACTTTGTCGGGCCTTCTCTCCCGACTCCGGAAGAATGCGCATAAGGGTTATCGACCTATCGCGAGATTTTACCCTTCCCCCTTTCCCCCGCTTTCCCCTCTCCACCGTTTCCCCCTTTTCCCACCGAATTCCTTCCACTCGCCCTGTCCTCTTCGTCGTTTCCCGTTACGTAATAAGTAAAACCGGGAGGAGGAGGAGGAGGAGGAGAAGGAGGAAACGCCACGGGAAAGAATGAAAAGAGACGAGGACGCAGAAACGAAACAAGAGGATGGCAATGGTACGAGACGAAATAGAGGGAGATAGATGAGATACCTGGTTTTAGAATGCCGAAGAAGAGGGACTGCCGAGTGTTCCGCAAACGAACATATCTCGCAAGGATATATCGCGAGCGCGCGCGCCTGCATGAGTTATGCTATTAAAAAAACGGAAACCGCGTGCATGCGTGCACGGTTGTATAATTTTCCGGTTCTCTTCGAGAAGCGCGCGAGAAACTGCTCGACAAAAGAGGTCGCGTTAGAAATTTTCTATACGCTACGAGCACACGATTTTTACATACCAAGTTGTTATTAGACTGCCGTTAGGTCCGAGGAAATCTCGTAAGATTCATAATTTCACTTGTTCCTTCCCACGCTCTTCTTTCCAACGGTTTTCGTTCTTATGTATTTAACAGGGAACTCTCGATCTCGCGCTTGGTCCACATTCGCGGTTTCTTTGACAAGAGACAGATACGTATAGAATAGCCGCAATGTAGCGCGTAATAGCGCTCGGCTGCAAGAGCGTATGGCGGACCACCTAGCGTTAATCGAGCCGATCGAAACGTGTGCACGCGTGAAAAGGAAGGGCGTGAACCAAAGCACAAAGGGTCAACGGTCTTCGCTACGCCGTATGTAGCTGTTTAAGAGACTCGAACGGAACGAATGATCGACGCGGCTCCCACGATGCGCGATGCCGAACATCGAGACCGGCGATCGGCCGTCGTCCCGTGAAGCGTAATCCCGTGACCGTCGACGACCCTTATTAAAGCCACCTTCTTCTTACGCTCGGCTAGATCACGGTAGACGAGACGTTTCGAAAATCCGAGATCAATATATTGCAGTCCGGTTCAAATAGCTTAACAACATTAAAGGAAGTTTCGAACAGAGAGTGACCGACGTGACGTTAATTTGTCCATCGCGTGACTGACGACAAAACGCGAAAACCGACGCTCTCAATCGAGAGCCCCCGGCCCGGTCATGCGTGAGTTCAGAACGAGGATTGGTAATAATTATATCAACATGCGAGGTGAGATCGATGTCTTTATATCCTTCGCGGACGTGTAACAGAGCCGCCATCGCGAGAAACACACACCGGGGAGAAAGCAGGACAAACGAGAAAGAGAAAGAGACTCCGGCCAAGAGTTATGACGGTTGTTCATGATAGCTCGTGGCATTGTGAAAACACACAATGTCAAGATCTAAAAACCGTGTTATCCAGAAGTATCTGAAAAAAAAAAAATAATACACGAACTCCTTCACGCGATCACGCGATCATCTCGAGAATCGACATTTCTCTGTCAATAAAAATCCGTGATTCAAACGACTGAAGAGAGATTTGACCAACGTTACAAAAATTATAAATATATCACTCCGACGTTGTTGAAATCCTGAAGCTTTGTCAATAGTGTAAAAGTAAATTGACTGAAAGAAACTGAGGTTTCCCTTCTCAAATAAGAGGTAAATAAGAATTCCGAGGAGTTAAAGAAGGTAAAGGAGTTAACGTTTGATATCTTAGGGAAACTCCGTGGCGTTTATATGAAGTCGTTTCCCCTCCCCCCCCACCCCCGAAGAAAGCCCGAGGGGAGTCCACGTGAAACTACGCCAATGCGGAAGAAAGACTCTGCGACACTCATCGTCGCACCTTGTCGCGGAAGGAGCCTCTATCGATCCTCGCTGCGATATACCTAGACGACAGGCACGAGAGAGGAAGCGGAATCGAAGTAGTAACGGCGAGATTCGCCGCTCGCTATAAAATGAGTTCATTCGGCGAGACCTAATTTAGGCCAGCCCGTCGATACGGGGCACCCCTGCGGCCGGCGGTGTTCTATCGACAGCGAGATTAGAGCGGCGGTTTCCAGAACGCGGTTACGGTTACAATTTGCCTGTGAAGGCACTCACTTGGGTTGCGATGTGGCTTCGGGATGTAAACGAGGATCGCAAGCGAAGCGCAGATTCCAAGTCAGATTGGAGCCAGTCTCGAAACATCGTATTTACGCGTTTGTTAATCAATTCGAATCACTCGACGATCACTTCTCTTCTTCATCAAAGGGAAGCTGTGCTATTTAATTCAACTTTTCTTGAGGAAAGAGATCTTTCAATTTTAATTTTTGAGAACGATCACAGTCTGAAAATTATCACCACGCTACGTGTAAGTGTATTATGCGCGACAAAATATTCTTACGATACATCGCGAAAGAGAATTTATATCAGACAAGTCGGTTCGACCGCTGAGTGACGAGACGATAATCCGCATGCGACACGACGTTAATTAAACGAATGCTAATTTCTGACACGACGATAGCGCGAGGGGCACGTATAACTTGGGTTAATTAACGTATCGATCAAAACCGTGTTAATTAATGGCAAATAATCTACGTCTGCATTTGGAACATTCCCAATTAATCTTCGTGCGATGTATACGGGGCGTTGCGAAATTTTTTTTTTTTCGATCAATTTCGCCGAGCACTAAATGACCCTCCGACCTTTATAAAGCACGTTGATTACGTTGATCGACTACCTCAATCATCATCAATCGTCATCGGCCTGAGAATATTTGACAACCGTTTGTGATTTCGCAACGTTTTTCGTAATACCCTGTCAGTATCGAGACGCGAGCGGAACTTAGCGAAATGCGAAATACTTCTTCTTTGTACGCTGGAACGTCGTCCCCTTTCCCAATATCACGCGCGACCGATTTCGCAACGCAAGCATGACTCGATTTATCACGGAACAGGGGTTCCGCTCATCGGGATCTAATATAGGTGCATTCCGTCCAGCATCCCAGCCTCGCACGCACGCGATCGATCTCGCAACGTGATCGGGACGTATCTCGTCGCGACGCAACCTCTCGTCGTCGACGGCCAGTCGGAGATCGATCTGGCAACTCTCGCGATTTCGCGCGCGGCCCTTCAGCTGGCTCACGTCGCATGACCGAACAATATTGAAGCGAGTAAATCCCGGACACGATGTAAAATTGACGCCAGCGGGGATACCACTCACCTTGACGAAATGCAGGTTCTCCTTGTCGAGGAGGAACTCCATGGACTTGTGGGGCCGCTGGTGGATGGCGGACGTTGCGGCGGACACGACGTCGTCGCGGGGGCTCCTGTGCGTAGCGCCGTCGGGCGACTGGGGTACGTGGAGGGCGTGCTCGGGCCGCGGCCGCGGCGCCGCCGCCGAGGTGTGGTTGAGGTCGAGCAGGCTGCGGGTCTTCTTACCACCGGCGCCGGCGGCGGCAGCGGCGGCGGCGGCGGCGGCGGCGGTGGTAGCGGCGGCGGCGGTGGCGGCGGTAGCTGCGGCGGCAGAGTTCGGACCAGCGGTGGTGTATGTCGTGCCGTTGTAGCTCACCGCCTCGTCGAGGTCGGTCTCCAGTAGGCCGACCGGGCGCTCCTGGGCGGCCTGCATCGCGCGGGCCTTCGCCATCTCGATCGCCGCCGGGTTACCAAGGTCCGTGGCGGCGCGTCGGCGCGACGCCGACGTCGACGCCGACGCTCGAATCGTCGTGCCCAGAGCGGCGACGCGCGGCGGTTGCGGTGGCAGGGGCGGCTTGCTGGACACTGGTGCCCTCCCGTTGCTGCTGCAACAACGAGTAGATAAGACACTCTTCGGGATAAGTCTTATCGGTAGACTTGATCGATGGTTGAGAAGATATATATACAGGGGAGGTTCTTTACGCGGGTGGTTTGATTTGATACGAACTGCCGATCGAGAATCTCGCCGCGCCACGACCAGGACATCGTAAAGATCTCGGAAGGAGCTGAAGAGCGGACGGGAAAAGCTTGGTGAACAAGCTCGACGGGTGAACGAAACCCGTCAGTGGACACGACTGGTCTTACACAGCGCCGCGCGTTACACCGACGTTGCGCGGGAATAATTGGATATCGGCGGATTGCATCAGAGTTTTAAGAGTGACCCTGATGCGCGCACTTCAGTGCAGTGGAGAAGCTCGTGAACTGACGTTACACGTTGCAACGTGTTAGGATAATTAATTTGCAATAAAAATCTATAAATCTCAGCTGAACAACGGATTTCGTATTTCTCACCTCGATTCTCACAAATTCTGTATATAAATATAAATGTAATAAGAGAGTAAAGATATTCCTGTTCTTTATTTATTCGCAACTTATTCATTCGTCGCAATTAAAGGCATTTTTTTCGTATTTTATCTCACGGAGGATAATTGCTTCATTAAACTGACGCATTATTCAACCACGTTGAAAACAAGCCACGCGAGTTACGCGAGGCTCATAATAAGCATCGTAGTTTCGTTCCCGTCTGCGTTTATGAACCGAATTAGTGGTACCGAACGAGAGCATTGACGGTTTTTGTTCCGCAACGCGGACGCCATTGTGACCCGGTAATTGAAAATTGGCGTTCGAGCTGTATTTTACGCTGTCGCAACACACATCATCGGTTTTCGATAACGGGACAGTTGGCGGCTGGGTGATGCGCTCTCTTTTTTTTGTCATCCCCTTGACCGAAATCGGGGATATTAACCCCTCGCCTGCGAGGCGGGGTATCTCGCTTAATCTAACTGCTGCTGACGAAGCCGCGATATATCATAATTATCTGGTTGGAACATCAAAGTTAATACACCATAGAAAGCTAATCGCGATAAATTCGCCAACGAGTATATACACATGTACATATCTTTATAACTCGGTGTTATTAAAATGTCAATGGAAGACATTACGTGGTTGATTGTCGGCCACTTACTTTCGAGAGACATTATAAATCATGAATCAAAGATCGCTGTGATTGCAACAACTTTTACACGAGATAAATTTCATCGACTTTCGCTTTTCCACTTCCGATCCGCCGCGGTCCGGATTCGCGAGAGAGACAGTGGCCGCTTTATTGAGGTTTCCCAGTGGCGCGGACATATGGCATATCGATAAAGGCACGACTATATATCCCGGCGAAGGGAGGACAGTCATTAATGAGACACTTTCTATCCGCCATCCAGCGCAGCCTCATAGATAAAGAAGCTCGCATACAGCCGGCCACTATATTCCGAGCTCTCCTCGAGACCTCGTTACATTACGAATGAGTTACGAATCCGCGATCTGTTGTGAAGCTGTCAGAGGCCGTAATCTGTTACAGCTGATGATCTTTGACCGCGAGTTTGACGCGATTACGGAATAATCACTGCAGCGCAAGTTCGTTTTAGTACGTTCGTTTGGAAGGATGATTCGATTACGAGGTTTGATTAAGGAGTTGTTGCGAGTGTTAAGTTCCCTCGTATACGTTTTACAAAGTGTCTTGCGTGCAAACGGTGGCCCCAAACCGTATTTTTCCCGTTCAAAGTAGGTATGACACACTCTCGGAGGAGTTAATTACGCTATCGAGACTCTCACTAACAATAAGAATTGTAAATCTTTAGGCGAGCCGAGGAGATTCGCACAAAACCAGATGCAAATGAAACAGCGATACGGAAGCTTCGCTCACACGTGATTCAGCGACGCGTTGCGACGCGCGCGCGATCGTCGGTTTTATTATCGCCGCGTATAGTGTGTGAGATCATGTTTATAAACGCGGCCCACGATGGGGAATCATCGGTCTCTAAAATTAGTTCTATGGCCGATCGTAAAAACAACGAAGAAATTCGAGGCAGCAGAAATGAGCTGAGAACTTGTACGCTCCGGGTGATATACTTTTCCGATTTCGGCAGATGTGAAGCCTTAATATCGACGCCTAGCTTAATATCAAAGTAGCTGAAGTAACGAATGTAATGTCTAACATATGGGACACGAAAACGAAAAATAGAAGGGCGGGTTATTAACATTCCAAATGGAGAAGCAGGCTCGAGAAAAAAAATTATATTAAAATTGTAGAAGATGTCGTGCTTTTATCGACGTTAATTGGTACCAATGAGATTGCGGTATCTCTCGAAAATAAATTTCACAAATTGCAATAACGGCGTCATTGGTTTAGCGGATTTAATCCGCGCGAGAGAGACGCGGCCTTGCGATACGGCACGTAATAACTCTACGTCTTCCGACGACGACGGAATGCAGCTGGAAGCCGTACTGAAATGAGCGCGGGAGCGGGCTTAATTGCGGCTTCGTTAAAGAGCCGGCTAAATGGTAGCGTTTGTTGCGTTTCCAAGGCGGCGGAATGAAGGGAAGAGGGAGGCAAAAATAGGCAGACACCAAAAAAAGGAAGAAAACCGGGACGTAGATAAGAGTCAGAACTGGAGAACACTACTGGTCCTTTTACGCATTGACGAAGTGGGAGGGGGGGGAGGAGAACAAAAAGTCCAAAGAGGATAGAAACCCTGCGATTATAGAGTCCCGAACGTGACGTTGAACCCGTCTCGAACGTGCGACTTCCGGACTCTCTCGAACCGGAATGGAATAAGATTAATACAAGGCGACTCTCTGACCGGCACCTACACCTACACACGTGTGCAAGGTGTATATTTAACTGTGGCATGAGACGAGCAAGCGCGTCTCGAGTTTGCATCGTATTAAGCCGAGACACATGTTATGTATAATAGCGAAATATTTTTGTCATTCTCATTAAATATTCTCGACTCGACTAACAGATTCGATGGTTAAAAAAAATAATCAAATAGAGCTAAAAGAAATGAGGCTTATTTCATCTATTTCTATCAAAATATTACAAAAAAGACTTTTGAAAATAACAATGAAAAAAATTCGATAAAGAAATAATTAAAAATAGCGATGTAATTCCTGTTCGATTTAACTGCCCGATATGAAAAATTATGAATAAAAAACAAGGCTTCGGCTGCCTCGAGTATAAGTTGCCGCCGGATGCTGGCGATTTACATCTTCTGGAGTTGGACGTCGCGCGCGATATTTTGCATATACTCTTGCATAACTAATTCCAATTATATATACCGCATCCTCGCCAGGGAAGTTTGACTCGCCGACTCCAGCTCCGCTTGCGAAAGCTCGAGAACGACGACGGCGGCGGCGGCGGCCTCCTAAATTACATCCCGCAGCTTGCGACGATGATTCATCGTCCCTAAACGCGGGCGAACGGGCGTGGGATATCGGCCGCGTTCTGTTTAACATCTCGTCAAACAAACTGAGAAACGCAGCCGCCGAAAATCTCCAGACGTTATTGTAAATGAGATAATAATCCTTTGCCGCCGAAGTACATTAAAAGAGGCGAGGAAATAAAATCCGAAGTCCGTTATGCAAACTCATGAAAAAAGATATCATAAATCGAAGATAATTACGCAACTTCTGTATAAATTAATAAACATTAATAAATTATACTGTCAACTTGTAACACTTGAGGAAGATGGCAGTTGACAGGATTAAAAGGGAGTTACGAATGAACATGTTAATTAATTTATGAGTTTATTAATAGTCTTCAATTATAATTATATATATAATGAGAGAAGCAAACTACTTGCAAAAAAGTGCATAAAAGAAACTTTAGAGAATTCAATCAAATGTCTTAAACAAACAAATAAAGAATTTTTTGGGGACATTCTATATAATCTATACGTAATAAAACGTATAACGTTCGTATTCGTATCGTTTTGCGTGCGAGTCGGAATTAATTTGCCGGCGAAAAGACAGCAAAGCTGTTTTGCGCGGAAAATAGAAGCCGTTCTCCTCTTTCTTCTCGATGGAACCTTTTCGGTGCAGCACGAATCGAAACGAAAGACGCTGCTTCGGCGAAATCTAATGCGATAAAGCAAATGTTTGTTAAAGCCGAAGGAGGGACGAGGGATCAGATACGTATATACTTCTCAGAACAGCGATGTTGATTGGCGGCGCACACTTGCAGGCCAATAAAAATATTCACGGACTACACCACTGGAGAAAAGAAATTACAAATGTAATGTTATGGTTTACCACCCACAAAGATCTCTTCGTTGTTTGTAAATTATAATTAAATTTTTTTAGTATTAGCTTTCCTTGTTCTCCATATAAAAAAAAATGCGATTGAAGCCAGAGAGCGATGCGCCGAGGAAAGCGAGACGCGGAAGAAATATGAAATAAAGGCTGTCACGGCAGAGGGGCAGACGGGTAAGGGGGGTCGCGTTATAAAATGCAATTAGGTCGCATTACGCGAGAATGACGTGGCGAGACGCGGGGTGAGAGCGAAATTTAATTAAGAGAACCGAACTGGTTTCCGTCGTCGCGTCGCTGCCGCACGGAATCGGGCTATGCAGCGCGCCGATGACGGAGAGACAGCAGGAATGATGCGGGAGTCCTGACGCGCGTCGGATGGCCAAACTCGTGTACGCGAGTAAAATTACATCGATTGGTAAAGTCTGCAAGCGTCTGCAGTGCGATTAGAGCGGAATTAAACGCGAGTCGACCGCGAGCGAACAGACATAGTCTTCGAGAGAAGGAGAGAGAAAGAGAGGGAGGAAACGAACGTGTCGACGAGCGATTGCGATAGACGAACGCGGCGGCGGTGTGGGACGAAATGAAAGTGGAATTAAACAAAACTGTGAATGAAGCGATTTGCTAACGCTAAAACGCGTGGGACGGCGGTGGAAGCGACGCGGGATCAAATAAAATTACGTCAAGATAATATACATAGATAGATGTGTATTAAAGTGACTTTCTCAGCGTCGACAAATAAACAAGTTGCAAAAATGTGTTTAAAAAAAAAAGGATAGTACGACGCTATTGGTCGGAGATAGTTTAACGCGATAATAATAAACGCAATCGATACGCGAAACACGTGACTTGCAACAATCTTTTTGAAAATATTGAAGTTCGAGAGCTACGCGCGACATGATCTCGAAAATCTTGATACGGATCATTATATCGTGCACGTAATGAACGACGATTATATAAAAACGCATCGTCGCTAATGAAACGATTGAAAAAGTCCGATAACACGTAAGTCGAGATCCGTCTATATTCGTATACTGCGCAATCGACAACTTGTTGATCTCGAATATCCTAACTCGAGACACGATAAAGTAGTGGTATTCTGTGTAGAGTATATATATTTCTCATTTATTGAAAAATAGAATGGGCAACTTATTAACGAGATACTGCAGATTATGCAAAAATTATATCAATATACGCCGTAATTATGTCCCTACCGTGGCGAAACATTTCTTTTTCAATAAGATAAGCCTAACAAAGAGCGCCTGAATATATTCCAGCGTCATAAATATATTCCATTGAATTTTACGACCTTACCTGACACTAGAAGCGCTTCTCTGAATGTCCACATTGTTCCTCCTGGCGGCCTCCTCGAGAGTAACGACCTCCTGGCGTCTCCTCTCCTCCTCGGGCGGATGCAACGGTATGATGATGTAGTCCGGCTCCCTCTTCTTGGCGGTGGCCGGCTGTTGTTGTTCCTCCTGCGTTCTCGCCGTCGACTCGATGGCCTTTTTATTCGCCTCCGAACGCGGCACCTTCGTTCTGCCGCTGAACCTCAGCCTGGAGAACCTCTGCAGAAAGCCGCCCAGGCCGCCCTTCTTTCTTTCCTCGCTCTTCATGGCGGCCGAGGACGAGGACGACGGTAGAGAGGTCGAGGAGACCGCGTAGATCTTTGCGGGCTCCCTCCTCGGGGTAACGAACGGCGGTCGTTTCGCGCTCGCGACGCTCGCGTCCTGTTTGTTGATGCTCGGCGCGCGTTGCTGCTCGTCGCCCTGACGTTTGTCGCGATCACCACCGCGATGATTCGTATCAACTGCCGCTGCCGCCACGGCCACCACGGGCTTCCCACTACTGCTACGTTCACCGAGTGAACCCGCACCGCCGGGTGGGGACTCGGAGCCAACACCGCGGACACTGTGTTGTCCCTCCTCCTCTACCGCCTTCTTTTCCACCGCCTCCGTCCCGTCCCTCTTCTCTTCCACCTTCTCCTCTTCCTTCTTCGTCGTTGCTTGCTTCTCGATCACGACCCTCCACAGACGTTCGCCGGCGCCTCGGTCGCTCGAACCGGGACTGCAGCGATCCTCGTGGTCCCGGTTCGACGACGGGTTCTCCGAGTTCACTTTCCACTCTTCAACCTTGTTCTCGTCCGCCTGAGGACACTGCCGTGCAGGGAGCTGCGCCGCGCGTTCTGGATAAAACTCGCCGATGAAGCACTTCTTTACGTCTCCAGTCTCTTCTTCTTCGGCGTTTCGTTTGTTGGACGATTCTTCGTCGACGTGAGAGGACTCCGTCGAGGAATTTTCCAGGACACTTTTCAACTGGGCTGATTTCTCCGATTCAATCTTCTCGCGCGAAACGACCCTATTTTCCAAGCAGGATGCTCCTATAGGTTTAGTTTCCAAGCAGGGATAATCTACTTCGTCGTCTAGCAGGTCTCGTGGGCTCAGCGCGCTAACATCGCCACAAGCCGAAAATGGATCCGAGTTTTTTTTTATCTGACCAAAGAACGAGTCGTTCTGCGGCTCCTTCGGTCTGGAGTCCTCGCTGACGTTCGTGTCGGAGCCCATTTGGCGCATCACGTCGGCGACATTTAGCCTCGAGGAGCGCCCGGATGCGGCCTCCTCCAATTCGTCGCACGCATCCATTCGCTGGAACGCCGCCTTCGAGCTCTGCATCGCCTTGATGTAGTCGCACTGTTGCGCCAATTCGTAGCTGGCATTGTTCTGCATCCGTCTCTTCCCAGGCGAGTTAGCTCCATCGCGATTTTCGTCGTTATCCTTTAATTTCTTTTGAAAATTTTTCTCGTCCACCTCGAGTTGTTGCGCCAGCTCGTAACTGGCGTTGTTCTTCACTCGTCGGCTCTTCATTCGACCGGACGGCGTTCGTTGAATCGTCTCCATCGCCAAAATGGCGGCGTTCGCCACTCCGGAAGCGGTCGCCTCTTCCACCTCGCGCTTAAATTGCTTGATGGCTTCGTCGAGGTCGTTCTCCGTCACCATCGCCATATCCAGCATACAATTGGCGCGATCTTGAGTCTTCACCGTCGACGTGGTCTTCGTTTGTTTGTTGCGCGTTTGCTGCGTCTCGCAACGGTCGCGTTCGACCTTCGTTCGTTCTTCGTTTCCCTTCTCGCGCAAGTCCATATTGCCGTCCATGAGCGCGCCCTGGGCCGGTTGCGTCCTGACCGAGCTGATCAGGGCGACCTTCGTTCCCGCTTGCGTTTCGTCGTTCTCTTTTAGGATCGTATCTTCTCGCGAGCTCGTCAGGGTCGCGGCCTCGTCGCCGGGCGCGGTCTCCGCCATTTCGCGACCGTTCATCTCGTCGTCGCACGTAGCGGCGACGCCGCAGAGATTCAGGTCCACCGGCACGCTGGCCACCCGCGTGTAGTTCTCGAAGAGAGACGACGTCGACACGTACGAGGTCGTCCTCGAGGTGCGAAGACGGGACGGCGAGGTGCGGCCTAGGCCGCTGCGTACTGACTCTTCAACACCGTCGAGCAGACTGGGCGCGCTCTGCGACTTGTCCGTGAATCTAAAATTAAAGCGCTCCTCGTCGCTCCACCCTTGGTGTTGCTGTTGGCGGCGACGACGGTGGTGGTGGTGATGGTGATCGTGTTGATCGTACTGCTGCTGCTGGTACTGCTGTTGCTGCTGCTGCTGCGGATGCTGATGATGATGATGATGGTGGTGGTGATGATGATGCTCCGCACCGCCGCCGGCTATATTTAACCTGGCCGTCTTCTGGCCGGATTTGAGCTCCAAAAACGCGTCTCGCTTCGTCTCCACGCCGATCTCTCGCAGGTCGATCGTGTTCCGATAGTCCAAGGACGTCGCGTACTTGCCGGACTCGCCGTACAGCAGTCGATCCTCGAAACCGGTCGTCAACCGGGAATCCGCGTTCGTTCGGCGTTGTTCGTACTTCTCGAAATCGTATTCTTCATTCTCTTCGTCCTCGTCATCGTCGTCGTCTTCGTATTCGTCATCCTCGTGCCAGAAGTCTCTGTTTCGTATAGACGGACATAGTCGAAAATATTGAAGGATCTATTTGATTTTTTTTTCTGTTTTTCTATTCGTTCAATATTAAATGATGAAATATCCGGAATTTAATATCAATATTGACCGTTTATTTTTAAAATTTTGCGTTTATTAATGCAAATTCCTATAAAAATTCTTCGCATTCCAAAAGGATGCGTATGCAAAACAACATTGCGCACTTAAGAACCAACCGAACGGCGGCGATCTGGCGATTCGGTAACGCGCTTGTGTTTCAAACGTTTATAATATCGGCAGTAAAGTCAAGGTAGTCTTCGTCAGGGTCGCGATTGCATTTAACTTGGCCGTAAAACGATCGTCACGCGGAGGGGAATTCGGCGTATGAGTGCCAAGAAAACCAAGAAGCGTTCAACACCCAGCGCGGCCGGGTGTTGAACGCACAAACACGTACATTGTTTAACTCTCTCGTTTTCAGACTGGAGCAGAGAAAGCAACTGCGTTTTCTGATTATTTAAAATGTAAGAAACCAATTATTTTTGATAAATATATCATTTTCAAGTGGAGAAAATCGTATTAAACGTAATTGTAAATTAATTTTTAATAATTGTTTAAGAGTTTAAAATGTAAATTAAATTCCACGATAGATTAAAGGAAAAAATTAGAGAGATAAAATGATATATAAAAAAAATATTTCGCTGATAAAAGGAAATATGGATAAAATGTTTATCTCACAAATACTCATGATATACACAGAAACGCACTTACCACCAGTCCTCGCAAACTAATTCGGGAAACAATGCATGATTACAATAGTCGTGTATCTTTATTCTAGTGACGCGTGTAAAAATAGGCGGGCGTGTTAAACGGCGTGTGCACGTACGCCAAGAATAACAAACAAAAGCCTTGGCTTAGCGTCTGTCGGAATTGCAACGCGGGTGGACTAATTCCGTTACGTTGGAAATGATTTCACGCACAAACGGGGAAAATTACTCGAGTAATGTAAACTATATATCGAAACTTAAAAATTCAATAAGAATGCATGCACTGTCCTATTATCAAACGTATCCCCGTTGAAATTATTGAAAATTAAAAGAATAACTTTTTACCGCGATAATATATATTTTTTAAGATGTAAACAGAAATTTTCTAACATGCAAGACTTTTCATTTGTCATCTTAACGTAAAAAAAATTGAACTTAATATGAGAAACGCTTAACTTACCTTGGACGCTGGTTGTTTTTCCTAATATTCGATAGATCAGCACCCCTCTTCAGGTACAAAGGCGTGAAACCATTCGACATGGACGCTTGGCCGAAGCTCTCGTCCTTCTGGCACGTGTTCAGGCTTTCGAAGCTGCGGTAGGGCCTGATCCTCGGGAAATGGTCCGCCAATGTGCTGGCGAAACCGTTCGGTAGCAGCCTGTCGTAGTCCTGCTCCAAGCTGTCGGGCGAATCGTTCTCCGGATGGGAGGCGTTCGACCGATTTGAATACTCCAGGGAATCAAAGCTGTAGCTGGAAGGCGACAGGGTGGCGCAGGTCCTCTCCAAGGACTCGAACTGCAGCAGCGAGCTCGATCTGGAGGAGGCGGTGGACCTGGAGGATCTCGGTGACGCCGGGTACTCGTCATAGGCCGTCACTTGCTGATGATGGTGGTGGTGGTGATGGTGATCGGTGCCATGGTCGCGACGACGTCGCTTCTTCGGCACCACCGAGTTGCACTCGCTGCCGCTGCCATCCAGCCGCTCGTCTTCCGAGAACCAAAAACGACAAGGCGATGAAGATGACGACGCTGACGATAACGGGAGGCACGCGAGGACTCCGAGAGAGTAAAAGCGAGACGAGCGAGCGAGCGCATGGCCTAAACCTACTTTACTCGGAATCCAGATCTCGCATGTTACTTTTAATTCTGCGAATCTCGTTAGGGTATATATATAGAGGTGGAATCCGATGCTTGACGACCCACTTCGTAAAATCGAGTCACGGAAGTGATCCAATCTAATGATCGCCACTTTCGCCCCATACATTCACACACAAGCGTACACATACATACACACACTCACACACACAATGTTCATCAGGAAGCCACGGTTCATTCAACCGGAAGTAGCGCTTACGGCATCACGCGCTGGTCACCATCGGTTGTCAACCGGGTCGCGATTGTCGCGTGCGACGCGTGATCGAACCCCATCGATTATCGTCGATCCCAGTGTGACGTTCAGGCGTGGTTAAATCTTGATATACAAGGAGCATCGTTAAAGTCTTGTCAAAAATCAAAACGCGTTCTCAATAGAAATTAATCACCTATGTTATGCAAATTGTTTTCCGTTAATATAATAAAAATGATTTATTTTAATTTTTACGCTTTTTATAGATATTATTTTATTTTATTCTTTATATTATACTTCAGTTTTATATAAAATGATTTTTATTGTGTTAATTTTTATTGTGTTAACAAGTAAATATATCTGTGCGTATACATATATTTAACTTGTCGTATTTCAAAAATTTATATTACGTATTTCTGATAAGAGCCATTTAATCAAATGATCTCGGCATTAAAGCACCGAGTATTCGTACACAGTTTGACCTTTAGAACTCCTCGATTACGGAATATATGTTAGATACATATCCTAAATACAATACGTTACTATAACGAGCGCAATACGTTTCTCGGCAAACAGTATAGATATTGGAAGGAATATTACATCGGCAACGAAAGGTCGCTCGCGTGCTGGGAAACAATCCCACCGGTTATATTTGTCATTTAATCGAATTCCAACAGTCTACTTTGAAGAAAGATGGAGAGAATAAAAAAATATCGGCAAAACATATATCTTTCGATGGAATTACGTTAAATATTTCGAGTTACTAAAAAATTTATTTGTTCACTTTCTGTGTTGATTTCAAGTGTCTCTCGTAAATATTTCTGTATTTTTAACACAAAATATCCGTTGTTATGAGAGAAAACACATGCCCCTACACACTGCAAACCGCGTAACCGCGTAACCGCGTGTTACAACGGTTGCATATCCAAAGGCGCATTCAATTGCACGTGGGTGAGGAACTACTTGACTTGCAATCCATCGGTGTTTCTTGTTTAAATTAGATATAAATTAAATTACGTTAACAAAAACCCAAAGTTAGGAAATCTTAAAATCGATGTAGAATAAAAATGATAGTAAAATTTTCCAATTAAATTTTGCCTCATAATTTTTTCCGTTCTAGAAATCTGTTTTATAACGTCTTGTCTACAGATTTCTACTTGCGCTAGTAATACGTATTAAATTTTTATTGCTTTGTGCAATTTGTTTTTCGAAAAGGTATAAGGACGAAATTTTATATTCGAGTAACTGACCTCCCGATTTCGATGGCGTAAGCACGAGTAATTGTGAACGGGTAATCGCGTGTCCGAGGTAATCCGACGTAATTCCCGGTTCCTTAATGAGTCGGAAGATTAGGCTGCTAGGAGGAAAGAGAAAGTAGAACAACCGCGCGTAAACAATGTCTAACTCCCCGGGCGACGAAACGGGATTTCGTAAGATCGTCCTCAACGTGCAACTCCCGGCGTGTAATATCGAATAAAATGATCATTACCGATGTATATCCATATTAAGATTCGGAGTTTCTTAATTTCTTACCTGCCGATCTCTGCTTCGTCTTGATATGGATTACACTCTCGGTCTCCGAATCGGATCCCAGCCAATATGTCGTTCCGCTGCGATCGGAGTCGCTTTGGAGATCATCGGACGTCTCCTCCAGAATCGTCTCCAGAAAATCGATTTGTTGCACTAGCACCGAATCTGTAAAATTAAGCATTATTATGTAAATAAAAAAGAAAGACTAAAGAGTTTAAAAAAAATTAATTTAAATAATTATTAGTTGCAACAAATTATATATATCTCGTATAAGTATATATATATATATATAAAATAAAATTTCTGCTTAATTAAAATTAATTAGAAGATTTGTATTTTCTTGTATGTACTTTATCAATCGGATTATAGATTCAAATTTCACGCAGTACGTGCAATTTTCCGCGCGAGCATGTCGTTCTTTCACGTCGATCAAATTCAACGAAGCGTAAAAATGTAAACTCGTTATTTATATATGCCTCGCCATTTTCGTCGTCAAAATTGTGGCAGCTGCTTCTGCTTGCAGAAAACGCGCAAGCGAAATTCTTAACGAGAGAGGTCATGACTCATTCCTTATCGACGAGTGCAACCATTACGTTAGAAGATAACGTAACTGGAAGGTCGTCCACCTCCCAAGCTTTCGCCGTCGATTAAAGCCGGCACAAGACATTTCGGGGACTGTATGCGCACGCTTTCCGAGAACTATCGTCATTTCTTTCAGCACGCGAGGTCGATTTTCCCATTTAGATATACCGCATCCTTTGAAGCTTTCGTGCTACATAATTACTCGTTTAGTGTGATTAAATGTAATAAAACGAAATATCGTTTTAAAATATTTGAAGATTATATATTAACAGAATATTCGACTGAAATTATCGGCATACGCAATCGAAAATAAATTAAATTTCAACTTTAGCTCCAAAGCAAAAATGTTGAAACGTCTAATGATAGCGAAATAAAAGATGCTACAAAAATTACGGCGAGTGTAATGGATTAACAATCGTTAATCAGCCAGCACCTTCGACGAAAAAGCGACGTACGTACGGATGTATAGGAACGTAAGGTGTCCGTACGTTCTTGCCTCCTTCGTCATCGCGCGATGAATGATGGCGTGAACAGTTAGACGCTGCTAGGAACGGGACATCGCATAGCTTGCACGGCGCAACGTTAGAATACACACACTCGGTGTGCACTCTAGCCGCGAGCGATCGCTCGCTCCCTCGTGGAAAAGTCAAGTCGCGCTATCTCACCCTTTCATCTTACTGAAATAATTGCGTAACGTTTTACGCGTACACGATTCTAGCATTTGCATCGCGCGTCGCTTCCTCGCGCCCGCATCACGCGATTCCGTTAATTGGGAAAGGAGCATAACGTGCATATACATCCGAATTTAGATATACTTCCGCTCCGTTTTTTTTCGGCCGATTTCGGAAACGGGACGCGAGAATTGCGAGGGGAAACACAAGGCGATCGTTTGCGGAGCGAATAGTCGAATAGACGAGGACCGAGGTCGAGGCTTTCGCGAGCGATCGTATTGTCATTTTCCACAAGTGGTGGACGACGATAACGCTATCGAAATAAACTTCGCACATCTGCACGCTTGAATGCGATCTGGCAGAGACATGCAGCGTGAGAAATAATGAACGACGTGAGGAGAGACAGAATATAGACTCCTTGAGCGAGAGAAATAATGAATGTCACAGATCAAGCCGCGTGTATCTTTTTATATCCGTATTTTATTATTTTTATTACACTTAATTATGCTGCAATTATTAACGTTCTTGCACGCGCGACGCTTCGATGAAAAATATAAATGACCGAGAGGTGCTTGAGGGATCAATGGAAGACATTAATCACCGTCTTATCTCGCGCTCGCGGTTATATGCGAATCGAAGACACGCGCAGCTTGATCGGCACGCTCTGAATCATGGATCAGCCAATTAATCCCAATAATTATATAGCCGGTTCGTTCGAGTGACGCAAGCGGAGCGGCTTGCATGCGTGTTGATGCACCTGATTTCCACCACACCTTGCATCGTCGGGACAGACACGCTTGTTGAGAGCTGTCACAGGGGAACAATTGCGTTTTTTGCTCGTTAATTAAGTCGTTACTAATTTCGACGAAGTCGTCGATTAGAAAAAAAAATTTAATTTTGTTTCGAATTGTCTCGTTGAATTTAAAGAAAGATGATATCCTCTCGCGAATTTCATACTCGGTTATATCGATCGACCGCGGAACGTCTTCTCGCGTCGCGAACGGGAGATGTAAGATGCGGAATAAGATCACGCGTACCGATACGTCATTAAATGGAAGTGTTTTTAACCACGAGGCCGGATAGCGATTGCGAGAGCGGGTCATCCGTCAGGCCGCTGAAACGCAATTTGTCTTGCACGAGTGCGGAGGCACGCACCAGTATGCAACATCATGGCGGAGCCACCTGTTGCAAGTCGCCTGCCTGTTGCCGTTCCATGACTAACGGACGAGAATAAACCGCCGTGGAGGCTTACATAAAAATAATCAGCCGGACTAGCGTCTTTCTAGAGGCCTTTCAGCGGAATGCACCGATATCTATGATGCACGAGCAGCAACCCGAATGGAGAGAGGCCTCTCGGAGGCCTTGTTTCCACTTGGCACCAACATTTTAGGCTCCTCCGAGGCCTTCCGAAGGCTCCTCCTAACCGCCAAGATCCAGAGTGTGTATAAGCTAACGAAAGAACAACTCTCTGAGGTAACTTAAACAATTAAATCCTATTAAAATTGTAAATACAACGCATTCTAGCTGCGTAACGGAGTGTGTGTTTATTTTATCATTACGAATAACATTTTATGGTACAGTAATTGTAAGTGTATTTTACTTTCTATCATAGAGATACACGACTTTCTTTATTCCAGACCGGTCTTTCGAATGATAAACTAACCAGAGCGGATAACTTTTCTCGCGCAGTTATACTCGGCTGATCCCCTTGCTCACTCTCCATTTCTTACTTCGTGCGGGTTGTTAGTTTGCTCGCTTGCTAATCGAATCACGTTAATTCACGTGACAAGAAACTTAAGCTATACCTTTCCCACGGTGTACGGAGCACTCGCTGTTACTACTGTCCGACCTAATTACACACAACATCTAAATCAATCGCTCGAAATTCTCGCGAAACTCCTGATCCTCGTTAGAAGAAAATTTAATCCAAAAAATTAGAAATATAATTGAGAAGGCACGAGGTCAAACTCGAATTATTGTTTACAAATGCGTAAATAAAAAAAAACGGAGATCAGTACTGTCGATTTATTGACCGTCATTGGCGATTGCCGAGCGCAGTTTTTTCCGCGCTCGCTCGCGAACGATCGCGAACCTTGATCGCGAGAATAACCGGTCGACATTGGTCGCGTGCCTGTGTCGGAAGGAAAATTTTTGCATCGCTCACAATAAATGACTTCGCCGAGTCTTCTCAGAGCTGCCGCCGCCGCCGGCTCGTCTACTACGCTCTAGATATTGGCGACGAGGCCGATATCATTACCACGATTTCCAGGGGCTAGAAAACAGATCGGTTTTGCATACAGATCGCCCGTTAATGACATGCTACTTTCTACTTAAGCGTGGGTGAGAGGGACACTGAAAAAAACCGTGAGCGCGAGTAAAAATCGCACGTGTCCTCGGACTTCCGTAAATGTGCCGCTCATACGAGCATATTTGTTCGCGCGTCGATTCTTATGCCGATATCGACTTCAATTACAATATGATACATATGTGCAACATATTCCTTAAAATATCAGATGACGTAATAAATTTAGGATTTTTTATGTGTAACAAATTAAATTAAGATATTTTTTCATGTAATATTCTTATATCAATAATCACAGAAATCTTATTTCCTACAAAATACCTCGGATCTTTTGGTCTTGTACGTACATCTTTTAAACAAATGTTATATATGCATTGTAAAATATTTCCTTTCCCAAGCTACACGAACGTGATTTCGAATTGAAAAGGTTAATCGCTTAGCGTGACAAGCCGCGAACGGCGACCTAGATCACTATAATCGCGCATAGATTTGCGTCAAAGAGTGATCTAACAGTATCCCGGGCTGTTGTTCTACGCCCGTTGTCAGATCACACGCGGCAGAGAGAAAGAGGAAGAGAACCGATCGTTCCTTTTCCGCATTCAAGATTTCCTAAGAGATTATTTCTGCTCGCCGAGCCAAATAATTGCAAATTACAAATATAAATATGTGACGAGCGTGACGTGACAAACAGTTAAGAAACATTAAATCAAAAATTGCCTAAAAATGTGTATGTTAACTAATATAAATAAAACTTAATACAGAGATTCACATTTGGGTAACGCCGAAACGTATGATTAAAATGTCAAATAATTCCACGTATTATAAGGTACTAAACGTGAGGATACGTGTGTTTGTGAAGTTAGCACATTTATTTTTATTAATTAAAAAAAAAACAATAATAGTTCCAACACGGAGAGAATTTTTTTTAAAATTTACCCTACAAATCATGTTAATTGTGGGACAATATAGTATTTAGGTAAATTTTAATGTACACTACAATGAAATTTTACAGTAAAATCAACATACAATAAAAGCACTTTCCATAGTTCTATCATTCCTGATAAATATTAATAATTCTTTCGTATTTTTAATATCAAAAAATAAAAATTAAAAAGAACGTGCTAATTTCACGTTCCAGCACGTCACATCTCCCTCGAGAGAGAGTACTGTGTATCGTCAAATATTACGACATGTGTCAAGTGTTCCCGTTAATTCTAAGATAATTTCATAATTATACAGCGTTTTAAAACAAAATTGCAATTAATCATTTTTACATAATTCTGATTATCCATGGCATCACGATATTTGACGGAAAGGTGTTCTGCAGATGTCGTAATATTTGACGGCATATAGCTTTAGAGGAAGATGTGCTATATACTGGAATGTAAAGTTAGCACGTCATTTTTTAATTTTTATTTTTTTGGTATACAAATGGTGGTTACAAATACGGAACATTTTTTAATTTTTCATCAGGAACGGTGAGAACTATGGAAAGTGTTACTGCAGAAACTATCATTGTTGTTTAAAAAATAAATAAAATGTCATGATAGCTTCACAGACACAAAATACGTCAGCTGTTAAGCGTGAAGAGAGTGCGCAAGTGTGAAAAAAGAACGGGAAGAGAGATGGAAACATTAACGTATATACGAACCATTAGCCCGTAGATCCTCCAAGTGCGTCGGCTGGAACTGGGAGTGATGCTGTAGCTGGAAGCCGTAAGCCGGAAGCCAGGGATTCGGCCCGTTCACCAGGTCCATGTCGGCGGTGGACTCGACGCAGTCCAGGGTCAAGGCCGCCGGGTCCTCCTCCTCGTCGTCCGCGGCGGAGACGGCCGCGGAAACGACGGCGACGCTCGCCGGCGCGAGCATCGCCGTCGCGCTCGAATCGTTGCCGCTCATCGTCGCGCGACGTCGACGATCCCTCGTCCCGTCGTCCGCGATCGGCACCGACGATCGTTAGCCGCTCCGACGAACTGTGAACCCCCTCCCTCTCGCCTCACCCTCATATCCCGCCGCTACGAGTGCAGCACCGGAAGCCGCGCCGCTTCTTTCCGACCGGGCGTACGGCGAACCGACCGACCGACCGACCGCGCGACTGCGTCAGATACGGCACGATTTCGGCATGATCCGGATGTGGATGTTGAACCCTCTTCCCTTCGACCTTGCACGCACTGGGGACTACTGAAACATAGACGGGGATCCGATTGGTTTAATCAAGAGATCAAGTGTCTATTTTTAGATTTTTTTTCGGAAATATCGTGGGAAAAGTAAGTTGCCCTTAAGTTCAACTTTTCTTCGAGAATTATACAAAGAATTATAAATAAATGGATTGTATGGATAAACATGGATAATCGTAAATATATCCGCGGAATTTTTCTATTACGATATTCTTGGATCTGCAATACGGTCGCTCGTGACTTCGCGATATCTTCCCGTTCGAATTCCTTGGCCTTTGAACTTTCGAGAGATTTAAGATCTCGGGATCTTTTAAAGATCTCCGCGCGCCCCGAAGAGGAGAACGCCGAGAGCCTCCGCGACGTCTAAGAATGTTAAGACTTCTTACTCTCCGTGACTTCCTCGAATCCCCCCGGGGGTCCTCAAACTTTCTCCAGATGGAAGTCTCCTCTCCGGACCGGGGTACGGACGAGGGAAGGAATTCGCGGTGGAATCCGTTCGCGATTCATCGGGAGGGATCCGCGAGTGTACTCCGAATGAAATGAAAGAAGGGAGATAATAGCGTACCGGCGATGGGGGGCACCGCCTTAACGAGCGCGCGTATACCCCTGGGCGGGTGTTAAATATCGCCGCGAGCCGGCAGATTTACATGACACGTCGGCGAAGGGGAATCCCTCCACATTGCACGCAGGTGGGAGTTACGTTTGTGTGTAATTGGATAAAGATCGGCTCGTCGCGGGTCGTCGTCCCTTACTCATACGCCCTTATACCCCTTTCCTCGGCGATGATTCCACGGGCGGCAGAAATTTTATTACCGCCGTATTTCTTTCCGCGGTGATGCCGGCAGACGGTTTAAGGCCGATGCATACGTGCGTGCGCGCCCGATGATCTTCCCCGATAAATCATCGTAAAGGAATGTCGGGTAGAAAAGGGCTCGAAAAATACGCGAGAAAAAATCGAGGCTGTAAATCGCGCCGCTGAGAGTAAAACCCCCCCCCCCCAAAAAATTTGACTCGATTCAAGAAAAACTGTCAATATTTCCTTCGTCTAATGTCGATTCTGCGCGATGTCGGATGATAATTTTCTACGCGTGATAACACGCGATAAGTTTCACAGCAATACGTCTCCGCAAGTGTCAGGCAGAAAAATACGCGAGAAATAATCGAGGCTGTAAATCGCGCCGCTGAGAGTAAAAATAAAAAAAAAATTGACTCGATTCAAGAAAAATTGTCAATATTTCATTTTAACATCGATATATTCTGCGTGATGTCGGATGATAATTTTCTACGCGTGATAACACGCGATAAGTTTTCTCGCAGCAATACGTCCCCGCAAGTGTCAGGTAGAAAATTTCACGCGTATCATCACTCTCGGTACACGTGCACGTAGCCGGCAATGTCGAGAGCGAGGTAAACAGTGCAAAGAAAATTCCTCCGATCCGTTCCTTCGCTTCCTCCATCCGAGCGAGAAGCGCACAGCGAGGCGCGAGAAAGAGTGCGATCGCCGAGTGGTGCACTCCCGAGATCGAGATAATCGCTATCGCTGTTCACACGGAACGTGTAACGTGCGCGCAGCGCGGCTCCGTCCGGCAGCGTCCTTGGCGGAATTATTTCAAAAGCGTGGAAAGTATCGCGATCTCGCAAAGGAGAGCCGGAAACCGTTCGCCGATGAAGGATCAAAGGACACGCGTGACTCACATTTATATTATTAGAAACGGCTACGTACGTCAATCTATTTTTCTTACGAATAATTTCAAGCGCGTCGGAGCGTCGCGAAGTTTATTTTTACTCGTTCCTTCTCTTTCTCTTCACTACTCTCTTTGTCTTTCGGTTCACTACCGGAAATAACGGAAATGAGCCTAATCTTCTCTCAGGCGTCGCGATCGCTTCTGTAATCAGTACTGCAGATCGTACGCGTTATCGGCAGCTTAGAAGATGATGCAGCGGAGCGTGAATATCGATCGGCTATCGATCTGCTCGAGCCGCCGCGCTGTTCGCCTCGCATGCGGCGAAAAAAAATCGCGACCGCGAGACAGGCGACTCCAAACTGCATTGCGCTCTCTCTCTCTCTCTTTCTCTTTCTCTCTCTTCGTTGCACCTTACGCATCACCGTGTATTTACGGCACACGCGTCTGGCTACACGCGGACACTTTCACTTTACGTAACTTTATTCACGGCGACTAAGGGCGACGAACTTTGACTGTCTCACACTAAAATCCTTTGCAAGCGACTAGAAAATTCCGACGTAAGGCTCTCGCGTTTCTTTAAATCTGAATCGGCAAGAATGCGAAATACGAGGGTCTTCGCGAATCTCCTCGACGATGGTTTAACGCGAAAATTCTAGAAGAGACTCGAAGAATATATAGGAAATAAAAAATTCCGAGAATCTCGAGAGATAAGCTGGTTTAAAAAGCTGGCTTCCACATGTTCGGGGTCACAAATACTCCAGAAATTCGAATTATATAGGCTTGCGAAAAATTCAGAGTCCGAAAACTTCGGAATGACCCCCCGAGAAAAACAAAATACAAGACAGAAAGAGAGAAAGAGAGAGATATCTGTCATCGAGAAAGATCGCCGCGGTGAGAAAAGGAGAGACGTAGATAGGATGCGTAAACAGACACAATCGTACAGTACGAGAAAGAGAGAGGAAGAACGGCGGGTGTGCGCGCGCGAGAGAAAGACAGGTACAGAGAGAGAGAGAGAGAGAGAGAGAGAGAGAAAAGAAACGAGAGACGCTGAGTGTGATGTAGACGAGGATACAGAGGGCATGCACCGCGCGCACTCCGGAATTCTCTCTCTGCTGGAGTGCGGCGGCGCGGCGGATATCTACCTGTCAGCGTGCATTCCACGATCCCACGATCCGCGTGCTGTCGGCTCGGCGTGCACGTTTCCGCTTCTCGCCGAGCGTAACTCCCCGTGAGTCCCCGTCGACGCGCACACCGCGCTCGTTACACCGCTCGGCGCTCACAACACTCCGTTCGCGATGCGAAACACACACACACCCACCCACCCACATAAACACGCACACACTCAAATTCGTCGCCGTCGTCACTCCTCTTTGTCGCGCGTTGCCCTCCGACGAGCGACGTCAAAACGCGACCGGTGTGACGTGCCGCGACGCGCGAATATGGCGCGCGCACTCAACGTCGATCCGCAACTTGGATCTCGCACACGCGCTCGCGAAGAGCGAGAAACGGGGAAACGCGTGGCCCCCGCGCCGAACGGAGTCACACGCCGAGGAACCGGAGGACGAACGCGCGGCTCTCGGCGGTCGGCCGCGTGCCCTCTTCGCCCTTCGTCCGGCAGTTTACGCCACTTTACGCGCACTCGTCCCCGCAACCGCTTCGGTTCCGTTTGCCCGCTTTTTGTTTTTGTTTCGCGACGCGAAACGACGGCGAGGAGCGTGTGTGCACGTATACCGTGTACGTACGCGCACACAGGACTCTCCAGACCGGACCGGAACGAGACGCGACTACTCTACTCGGCTTTAAGCACCGCGGGGTAAATACTACTACATACAACGAAACGCGCCGCTCTCTCGCCCGGCGCGGTGTGTGCGCCGGCCAATCCCCACCCGAGCCGCGCCATCCATGTGGTAGGCGCCGCGGCCAATCGCGCAGCGTGTAGCCGCTAGAACTGCGGCGTTCGTAAAGCCATCTGACTGATCGGGATCGAGCAGCGAGTTCGGCCCGCGTGGTCTTTAATATCGATCGGTCGGTCGTTCGATCGCGCCTGGAAATGAAACTTATATTCTTTTGATTCCTCGTACGCAACACATACGAATGCGCATGGTCGTCTACAGATAATAAATTCTTTCAAACTCAAGTATACCATTTTTATATATGTACTACCTTTTCATACGCAGGCAGCACGTACCCGACCCGAGGTCGATGTCAAACACGCACCACACGCGCTTACGCGAGTGGAATTGCTAACGAGCCGCTCTCATGTCGCGTATATCGCTCCTAATGAGATTCAATGACGCACCGGTATCCCACCCACCGGCTGTCCAAATGAATCATCCGCTCGTTACATCATTATTTACTTGACTTCTTCAAATTACACGCGTTCCCGACTAAATTAGCTCTCGAGTAATATATATTTATTTTCCGAGATAATTTGATTTCTCGACGTTACTAAATCGTGTCGCATGGTCTTCTACGAGATGAAACAGTATATATATATATATACATAATACGTCGGTCGTTCCGCGTTCGCTACACGTGATACCCCGCGGCAACGACTTATAAATCGATAGCGTGTGGAGAGAACTTGATCGCGCGGCCGTGAAATCCTCTCGACATTCGGTGTCGGTGACCTGGCACTGAAAAAGAACCAATTCCAGACCCGTCACGTCGCTTGTTCCGTTCACCCGAATTGCCCGTGATCGCCCGAAACGGAATTTCGGGTCCGAAGCGATCGATCATCATCGAGCATTCTTGACATTTTTTTTACCTCACGTCTCACCTCGCTTAAAAGTGAACGCACATGTAAGATGTAACACAAAACGGATGACGTTCTATGAATAATTTAAACGAAACGAGAGACTATAGTAGAAATTCATAGAAATTTATTACGACACTCCAGCGCATTGCACGCGATTGCTCACATTCGCAGTAGAATACGTCGCCGTAATGTTCCCTCTTCGTAAACAGGCCTTATACAAAACCCGAAATTCTTAGGCAAGCAGAAGAATCAGTAGACTCACGCCGATGGCCTTCACGGGAAGTGTCGCTCGATACTCGTCGCATCTGGCATCTCGAGAAGCAATATTTTTCACCTCGGTCTCTGAAAGATTTTTGTACAGTGACGTGAGACCAACACAATACATTCGGTCGAGGCTCGTCGACGGACAATTGGAACAACGCTAGAGTTAAACGGCACGTGATATACTTATATATATTTCGCGCAATTTAATTGCTGTTCTCTGTCATTTTGTAAAGAAGAAAAAAGAGAGAATAGGAATGCGCGGTGCTCTTCTCGCCTCGACGCGTCCTCACCGTATTCGTAATATTGCGACGGTTCCGTCGGCTCGTCCTCACATTCCTCGGTGGCCGATCGGATCCTTACCACCTCCTGTCTCACACGTGTCCTGTCGGCCTCACCCCCGAGTGGCACGTAACCAGATCTCGCCACGCGATTCCCGGCGACGGCGGCGGCGGCGACCGCGACCTAGAAAACGCGGCAAGAGTTTCGTCCTTCAGCACTAACCATATTCGTAGACCACGTTGGGTTCCTCGTTCACCGTTTCTTCCTCGTCCTGCTCCGCAGCCTCTTCGTCGGCGCCCTCATCGAGCTTGTCCTCTTCGTCGCCCTGATTTTCCTCCTCCTCCTCCTCCTCCTCCTCCTCTTCCTCCTCGTCTTCATCCTCGACGTTCTTCACGGCCGACGAACGATAAGGTCTGCCCTCGTCGAGCCTATTTTTTCGAGGTTGACGGTGTCCTCGCGCAAAGTTGTAATCGTAGCTGTGGTATACCTGCTTGGCCCTACGCGGATGCTCGAGAAGACGGCGTTGCGGTGGCTGCACGTAACCTCCGTAAAAAACTGGCTCCACATACGAGGCGCGTCCGTGGATATCTTTCGTAATTACAGCTGACGCGGGCGAGCTCGGAGAGTCCCAATCGAGACCGTCGCCGGCAGTACGAATGCCTGACAAAATTAGAAGTGTCGATAAAAGATCGAACGTCAGCATAGCCTCTTGTCATTATCGATCACTGACCACGCGATTGAACGTAAACGCGATTAAATCAATTGCACAATCGAGTATAATCGCGAGTAGCTCGAAATAGTTTCGCGTCATAAACCCATGAATATGAATAAAAATACATAATCTCGTTTTGTGAAAGTATATAACTTATTTTTAAATATTTTATTTCTTTTATAATTATATATCCTATCTTTTGTACTTTTTAATTAGAGTATTTAAACTGAACTGAAATCTTTTTTTTTTAAACGATGTAACGGAATGTGAAAGATTATAATTTTCTTAATCAATATAAAAGTATAAGTTAATATATGTGAGGAATGTACATTCAATGATTCTAACATATATAGATATTTATCGACTTTTTTCCTTCCCACAATCTAAGCAGGATTGTTCTCCAGGTACATTTTTGTCACGATGTCGGTGCGACATTGACTTAGGATTATGTAATCCTTGCTGCTGCAACCCACCACGGGACATCTGTGAATAGCACACATAAACGCTGTAGTAGCATATCCCAAACTTTGCATGGGCGTCAATTGTGTATCTTGGAATAAGGTGAAAATTACAAAAGTAAGCAAATTCACTGGAATATTTTTAATTTTATTAGCTAATATCTAGTGAATTTGCTCACTTTTGTAATTTTCACCTCATTTCAAAATACACAATTGACCTCCTGCGTGTGAACCTAGACTTATAAGATGGACTGTGCGTCCCCCGTTGAAAGCGTGAAAGCAACATCAGTGACAGAGAAAGAGAAAGATAGCAATAGGAGGATCAATGCTTTCCTTGTTCAATTCTGTAGCAATTGAACAAGCATCGATCCTCCTATTACTCTCTCAATGATGTTGCTTTCACGTTTTCAACAAGAGCGCGCAGTCTATCTTAACAAGTCAATGGTGTAAAACATACCTAGTATTTTTGTTCTTTTGCAGCATCGCGACGAGGCTCTCCCTATCGTACACGTGACCGCAGACTGTATTTTTCACAGGATCTGTCATTCTCGTCTTCGAGATCGGATCGATCACATTTACTTCTCTACCTGTCAGTGCCAGATCAGCGTCCGTGTCATCCAGTCCGTTACTCGATGCAGCTTCGTTGGCTGAAAGTCATTCATGTTAATCTCAGGATGAAATAAAAACGACAAACTTAAAGTGATCTCAGATTCAGATGTTTTTACCTTGAAGCAGACCTTCGATCTGACGATCATACTCCAACATTCTGTTGTCTTTCGACGGATCAACTTGGATCTCGGATATAGCCTTGCTGTATTCCTGTTTACAAACGGTAGCGAGCGCATGTAAAATCTCAAAAACTTAAACTGAGAGATCTTTGATTTAAGAGAAATCGTTACATTTGAGATGTCTTTCGTGTTTTTCTCTGGATCAGCCTCGAACACACGTTCCATCTGCTCCCTGATGTCACTCGCCGCCTTTATTTTCGCAGATTCCTTACAATTGTTCATCAGGGCATCTCTTAGGTGCTTCAGTATCTGCTGCCTCTCTTCCTCGTTGTCTAAAAATACAATTAGATATTTTATTTTCTCGTAAATGAAAAAAGAAAGCTCGTCTTAATCACTAACTTTCTGCGCTCGGAAACAAGAATCAAGAGCGAGGAAATCAAGAAATTACGAGCGAAAGTGCGCGGAGAGAAGTACTCCGAACATTCCGACCGTGTTTTCTAACCTAGCTAAACACTCACCGTAGTATTTTACGATGTTCCCCGCCGTTCTCACGAAACAATCGTCGAGTTCCTCTATCATTTGCGTGGACTGCGTCATTTTTGCGCGATCTTATCTTATCCCGCTGGAGATACTGATGCCAGTCGTCGAATTTCTACATTCCACTCCCTCGGCAGTCTCGACCGGTTGCCAGATTAGGTTAACGCCACTTTTAATTCTTTTAACCAACAGCCTTTCCAATCGACGCAAGTCGAAATTAAAAACGAAGCGAAATATATACTTCAATATTTTAGAGAAAAAGAGCAAAAATTGAAGAACACAAAATATTTAACTGCAAGAGACAAAATTTATATTTTCTCATATCGCACTTATTGCGTGGATCTGGTGAGACTTGCCTCTTGGCGCGTTTCACTCGGCCGATATCAGCAGAGAGAATCGAGAGAGGACATGGCCTTTTGGCTGTCGCTAAAATGCCCTCGTGCACTAACGCCCTCTGAAGAAGTGGATCCAAATTACATAGCAAACTCAAGATTTCTGCACAATTTGTGGTGCGTGTCCGTACTAAATCCCCTTATTCGAGTTTGTTGGATTTTTATTTTCGAAAAATTACGTATTCAAAAGTATGTACATTTCCGTACTTTCTAATGCGTAATTTTTTGAGAATAAAGCTCCAACAGACTCGAAAAGTGGGTTTGTAGTACGGACACACACCACAAATTGTGCAGAAAACTGGATTTTGATATGTAATATTTGAATTTATCATTGATAACATTTTTTTTATTCAGATTGAGAAATTAAACGCTTCAAAGCATTTGAAGTGTCACGTGGACCGCAGCTCGGTTCTCAGTTTCTCACTGCAGATATAATTTCATTAAGTAGAATTTCCGACGCTACGAAACAGGCGAGAAAGGATCTAAAGCCTCTGTCTAAGGCCGTACATCGTTCCTACATGACGCGACGCTACGTTCCCCCGAACTTGCTGCGGACTCGACGGATTGCCGGATCATACTCTATAGAGCGCGCGCGGCACGTACGCGCTGTTTATATACTACCTCGCGCGGATCATGGAGAGAGACCGCCTCACCGCCCGTGTCAGTTTTCGGCGGACGATTGGCATCTCGCTCCTTACTCCTAATCGTCCGCCGAATAAAGTTATAACATCATTTTTTATTTTATTTATTTGCAAATAAGTTACATTATAATTAAACATTGAGCGCATGATAAAAAGAGGCCAGTGCCATTACTGCCACTAT